TAAAATAAAACTGACTGTAGTAATTATTGGGGGATATCACTGCTATCAACTTCATATAAAATTTTGTCCAATATTCTTCTTTCAAGGTTAAGTCCATATATAGATGAAATTATTGGGGCTCATCTGTGTGGGTTTTGACATAACAGATCAACTACAGATCAGACCTTTTGCATTTGTCAGATACGGGAGAAAAAATGGGAGTACGATGAGACAGTACATCAGGTATTCATAGACTTCAAGAAAGCCTATGATTCAGTTAGGAGGGAAGTATTGTACAATATTCTGATAGAGTCTGGGATACCCATGAAACTAGTTAGGTTGATTAAAATGGGATTAAACAAAACATATAGTAAAGTCCGTGTACGTAAACATTTGTCTGATAAATTTCCTATTAAGAATGGTTTAAACAAGGAGATGCTTTATCGCCCCTCCTTTTCAACTTTGCCTTACAATATGCAATTAGGAAGGTCCAGGGAAACCAGGTGGGACTGAAATTAAACGGGACACATCAGCTATTGGTCTATGCCGATGATGTGAATCTACTGGGTGATAATGTAGATACCCTAAAGAAAAACACACAAACTTTAATTGACCCAAGTAAAGAGGTTGGTCTAGAAGTAAACACAGAGAAAACTAAGTATATGTTACTGTTTCATCACCAAAATGCAGGGCAAAATTATGACAGAAANTTAAGGGAGGAACATCGACTGAGGGTGTTTGAGAACAGGGTGCTGAGGAGAATATTTAGACCGAAGAGGGATGAAGTGACAGGAGGATGGAGAAAACTGAATAATGAGGAGCTTCATAAATTGTACTCTTCTCCAAGTATAATTAGAATGATCAAGTCAAGGAGGATGAGGTGGGTAGGTCATGTAGCACGAATGGGGGAGACGAGGAATGCGTGTAGGATATTGGTGGGAAAACCAGAAGGAAAGAGACCACAGGGAAGACCAAGGCGTAGGTGGGTGGACAATATTAGAATGGATGTTGGAGAGATAGGATGGGATGGTATGGATTGGAGAGATCTGGCTCAGGATAGGGATCAGTGGAGGGCTCCTGTGAACACAGTGATGAACCTTCAGGTTCCATAAAATGCTGGGAAATTCTTGAGTAGCTGCAGAATTGGCGGCTCCTCCAGAAGGGCTCAGCTCCGTAAGTAAGTAAGTCTTGTAGAAGTTTATCAACATTTTGGAGGAATGTACCGCCTCCACCTTCAGGATAGATGAATGAGCCACCAAGAAGTATAAAATCTCAGTCTTCCTTAGCTGAACTTATTCTTTAAAATCTGACATTCAATTTTTATTACTTTAATGCTTTCAGTTACTTTGATAGCTCAGGTGGTTAGCTGCTGGCTTCCCACCATGGCGGCACCGATTCGATACCAGATCAAGTCATATGGGATTTCTGGTGGACAAATTGTCCCTTAGGCAGGTTTTCTCGGAGTACTTCGGTTTCCCCTGCCAATTCTCATTCCACCGACTGCTCCACACTCAATTATTATCTGGGGCTGGTACAATAGGTCAATTAGTGGCCGACGTACCAAGTGGAATCAGTCTCACCCTACATAATAAAACTACTTCATCTCTTGTCCCATTTCCTTACCCTATTATAAGCAATTTTACGCAAAATTAATAAATTGCACCTATTTCCTAGATATCTGAAATACGTACGAAGCTTTACTCTTACATGTTTCATTAACACTATGCTCAATATTTTACTTCGCCCTCCAAAACATTACCTTACAGTTCTAAAATGGGGTTCCTAGGAGATTTCTGCTTAGTACGTAACCGCAAAATTATCAGTACTTTCAGGTTAGCATGAGTATGGGGGATGGGCCATAAAATCCGGCCCTTGCACGGCGACTTTCAATGATCTATTGTGGTTATTAGGTTAGTAACTGCTTGCATCTGTATTTAACTTAGCTATTATTTTAAAAATACGAAACGCATGTTCTAACCTTGAGTACACTGCCCTTCCTTTTCTTCAGAAAGGTCTTTGTAGTCCACATTGTTTACCTTATTAATAAATAAGGATGTACCTCACGATTCAAACAAAAGATACTTCATTACGCACATGTCCCAACACAACTATTCGATTGTATTCGACCGACCAATAGAACAGCCAACTCTCGCAGAATTCACTGAAGTTCACTGAATGTAATATCCCTACTGCAGCATTAGTATTTGCATTGCACTTACCTGTTCGTACCAACATCGCTCAAATAATTAATGGCCAAAATTGTATTCTGCCATTCTATTTAACTCGGTTGATGTGGTCTTACAATACGTTGCTGCAGGTAAGACGGTCAGACATGGACTTTATAAAGTGGTCATTCTAATTGCTTGAAGTAATTTGTTGACAGACTACCCTATTTATAGTAACAAAATATTTTGAAATAAATGTATTAAATTCAAATGTTGTTACCACTTCTTCAATTTAAGTCTGCGCTGCGGAATTCCGGATTTTCGTGAAAATAAAGAACTCTATGCACATTGCTACATCATGGTCTTCATGATGTAGGATCATACGCATGTGAAGATGTTGCAAATAGATCTATTTCAGTGTAGGATGGTTATGACGGATATATAATATTTCAAGTAATAAATGCCTTAGTAACTCTTATCAGTCGCTTAAGGGCGAGAGTTCATCAAGGAAACTAGCAACTGCAACGTAACCGCAACTGCGTTGCGGGTGCCAGTCTCCTTGGTGTGCCCTCGCCGTAAGACGCTTCAGTCAAACCGATCAGGTCTCATAGGATCACGGATCACTATATAGGCGTTTTATATCGTTACACCTATCTTCCGTGGGGGCATGGGCGTTTGGAAACCTAGTGGTAATTTCGTTACCTAAAATCGGATGCGCTTATTGTATAATCCCACAAATCTCCACTAGCTCTGGCTAGAAGATGATCGATGCCATCCTATGACTAGAGAAAAAATTTCATTCTACGTCTTTCGAAAATAAAAGCACAGGTCACCATCAAAGGTATTATTCAACCAAAAAATTCACGCTTAATTTCCCTTGTATTCGACATTGGACAAATTGGTGATCAAAATAATTATTGTGCTATATTATATGAGAAATGTACTGTGTGACCGACTAGAGTAAACTTACGAAGTCAATAAGTACGAAAAACGTTTATTCGTCGGGTCAAAGCTGGTGTCGACCTAGCGTGTTTTGTACTTGAAACTTTCATGGAGGGAAATTTTACGTAACATTTGAATCCTGCATATCGGTAGCACTGCAGTGATTGTATTGTGTTGTGGCGTGTATTTTGTGTTGATAAGAAAACCGTTTGGATCATTGGTTGTACTTATTATTGTCATACATATTATTCATAATGATAGAAGACTGTTGGGATGATGTCGATTCGGCACAAGTACCTGTTGGTTCATACGATTCTGGTACCAGTTTCGGCCGTGGCAGAGGATTTGTGCCATTGGAACAAGGACACAGCGTCGGGTATAGAAATGGTGGAACTGTTGACGGAAACGTTGAGGCTTCAAATGACAGTATTTCTCACGGAAAAAGTAAGGATGTGGCTAGAGGAGGGCAGAGAAATTACAGAGGTGGCAGAGGAGGTCGTGGAGGATCTTCATACAGAGGTGGTGCTGGTCATCAGGGCAGAAGAGAGGACGGTGGAAGACGCGATCACCAGGGAGATTCATCTACTAATGATGGAATTAAAAGTCGAAGGGGCAAAGAAGCTGGCAGTATGGAAAAGCCACGAGAAGTGTACATTCCACCAGAACCTGTTGATGATGACACCATGTTTGCTGGAGGCATTAGTACTGGTATGAACTTTGATAAGTATGACATTATGCAAGTAAATGTAACTGGTGAAAATGTTCCAAAATCAGTGGAACGTTTTGAAGACTCGGGACTTCGGCAGGTTCTATTGGACAACATTTGTAGGTCTGGCTATACGAAACCAACTCCAGTACAGAAACATGCTATTCCTATCGTAATTGCAGGAAGAGATCTAATGGCATGTGCTCAGACAGGGTCAGGTAAAACAGCAGCATTTCTTCTACCAATAATACACGTGCTACTGAATGACCCCAAGGAACTAATTGTGACACCTGACCACTGTGAACCCCAAGTAGTAATCATATCTCCTACAAGAGAATTGACCCTGCAGATTTTTAATGAATCTAGGAAATTTTCCCATGGCTCGGTTATAAAGACAGTTGTTGTATATGGGGGCGTAGCTTCTTATCATCAGTCACAGCACGCATTGAGAGGATGCCACATCTTGGTGGCAACCCCTGGTCGCCTCTTGGACTTTGTAAACAGACGTCAAGTTACATTTTCGTCTTTAAGGTTCTTGGTGTTGGATGAAGCAGACCGCATGTTGGACATGGGTTTCATGCCTGACATTGAGCGCATGATGGGACATCCAACCATGGTGGCAACTGGTGAGCGTCAAACATTGATGTTCTCAGCAACATTTCCAGAAGACATTCAGCGATTGGCTGGGAAATTTCTAAATAACTATTTGTTCCTAGCTGTTGGAATTGTAGGCAGTGCCTGTTCAGATGTAGAGCAGCATTTTCATCTGGTACCAAAATTTGAAAAAAGACCCAAACTGACTGAACTTGTTTCTCAAGAGGGATGTGAAAAAACGTTGGTTTTTGTTGAGATGAAACGCACTGCTGATTTCATTGCCTCATATTTGTCAGAGTGTGCTCTTCCCACAACAAGTATTCATGGAGATCGTTTACAGAGAGAACGAGAAGAGGCACTGGCAGATTTCAAGAGTGGTCGCATGGGAGTTTTAGTAGCTACTGCTGTGGCAGCAAGAGGACTGGATATAAAAAATGTACATCATGTTGTTAATTATGACTTGCCTAAGAGCATCGATGAATATGTTCATCGAATAGGACGAACTGGTCGTGTGGGAAATCGTGGAAAGGCAACCAGTTTTTATGATCCTGAAGTTGATGCTCCCCTAGCAAGAGATCTTGTGAAGATTCTTCAACAGGCAGGCCAAGATATACCTCCATGGCTGGAAAAGGATGCTTCTAGTGCTGTAACCTCATCACCATACCCTCATCATGGCCATTTTGGTGGAAAAGATTTTAGAAAGTTTGAAGATCAGAAAGATGGACCTGACAATACATTTGGAGCAGTGTCAGATAACCGTTACAGCTTGCCTCAACCTTTGGAACCTGAGGAAGAATGGTGAAATGCAGTATTACATACTCATGTCTGACTTTAAAGAGGCATGACAGAAATTCAGGGAAGAATTTGTAGGGTAATTATGTGTTTGTTTATACATGTCATATTTCCTTTGTAAACTCTTAATTTGCAACAAACACAGATATAAGATTTCAGTATAAGACATATTTGGAATGATAACTGCATACAGTTGAATTTAAAAGAATGTAATAGGGCTGTGAAGTGATTACAATTCTTAGTCTGCGTGCTTTAATTAATTAAATAAGTTGGTAAATATAAAAATACTTTGTTGTGAGAAATACCATTAAATTTTCTTTATTGTTTGCATCATGTTGTGTATTATAGTATTATACAACCAGCAACACAGCACATTCTTAATATATAAACCAATGAACTGTACTATTCGTTATTGCATTGTATTTTTGATGTTTATCTATGTTAGTAATCATTAATATGAATTTAATTACAATACTTGTGTTTCCTTATAATGAAGTTATATGTGTTAGGACTAATATTCAGAATATAAACACAAGTATTGAAATGAATTTCATATTAATGATTACTAACGTGGATCCACATCAGAAATAAAATTCAATAACATATAGTACATTTCATGAAAAATTGCCTCATTATGATCTAGCTGGATTGATACATGTAGCAAATGATATGACAATTACATCGGTTATCTGTTATGAATTTTCTGTGTTGACAGATATGCTTTACCATTAATTTACTTGAAGGTTAATAATAAATGTGTTGTTTGAAATGTGAACCTAACAGACATTCCTCTTGCACAGTCTGAAGTACAACAAATTTTAATGCTGTATTTCAGGTAATGTGGGTTTATAAATGAACAGTAAAATGCTGTTTTGCTCATGAGTTATTGTGCTGGGTCAGTGCATTGGAACAAGGCCTGAAGTTTGATTTTCATTAATTGCTTTTATTTTCTTTATGGAAAGAACTGATTAAGTATGTACTCTTTGTTCATTAAGTTTCTGGCTAAGGCGTTCAACATAGCCAAATTTGTAATTGTTCAGTTATAATAAATATTTCATTACCTAATTTGTATGAAATTTCTAGCTCTGACAGCCTATCATTTTTTCACTGTCAGACTGAATTGCAAGGTCACCATGTTTGTTGTACATTGTACAGAACAATTAACGTAAAAGAGACATTGTTTTAAGGTCTATTCCTAAACATAATTTCACAACCCTAGTGTTATTCCCACCTGGATGATATGAGCGGTTCACTTAAAACTTGTAAAACCTATTTTCCCATCACAGACTTAACAGTACTACAAATCTTGTGTCTTTAATGTCACATTTAAGTAATGCAAAATTGTAATCCACTAATAAAATGTAAGTTAGCTTCATATTTTTGATAGTAATATTCTCATCTTTGGTAGAATTTGTCATGTACAGATGTTGCTTACGTAAAAACTTAGACATAATCTAAAAGTTTCATGCCCTCACCATATTTTTAATGACTTATAAGCAGTATTTGATTGGAAATTTGTACGTACATTTATAGCTCTGCTTCACATGCCCGCCTCCAATGGTTCATTAGTCATGGCCATGAAAACAAAAGCCAAATATAAATTTCATTCTGCCACCACAGGATGATAGATAATGTCTCAATTTTCTACAAAGTGACTATTACATAGTATTTCTGTAAAACTTATTAAAGGTTTAAGAAGTTTTATAGAAAGACATGTTGCATGTGAGACAGTGGAACCAGTAACGTTTGATATGAAGTGATCTGCAGCAGGATGCTACAATATATTACATATTTTTCTACAATCTATTGCTATTGCAATCATGATGCTACTCTTGCTGTTACCTCACACAGTTGCATCTCCACCATGTTATTACTGAGTAGGAAATTAAAAAATGCGAAGATTATTGTCTTCTGGGATGGCATGTGATGTGATGTAGTCAGGTAGATTTGTTACCAACATTCCAGAGGAGAAGGCATATAGCAGGACTCTCCTTAACATTATAGTGAAAAAAAAAATACAACAAAAAGCTTTTCTCTTTGAGATATAGAACACAGTTCAAATATACATTCCAATTTAGAGTACACATGTTAACAAAAAGTATTATATTTTTGGACATTATCCATCGTCTTGTCTATTTTTTAAAAGCCATACTGTTTCTTTTAGAAAACGTTTTGGAGACTGGATTCTGTCCCCATCACGTAAAACCCACAATCCAGTCTCCAAAACGTGTTCTCAAAAGGAAACAGGACAGTTTTTAGAGAATAGACAAGACAATGGATAATGTCCAAAAATACAATACTTGTAGCAATATACCATCATCACAAACTTTTAGAGCTTATTAAAAAGTTTGCAGTTTCATGTATTTACTGGCCTTGATGTCCATTTATTGCTGATGCAAATTGTAACAGGGCAATTTGAATTCTTCTATCCGTGTTACTAAATATATAAGAAATGGAGGTAGGGGGGGGGACTTTCACGCAAAATTTGCAGAAATATTTGGGGTCTGTGCTGATCATGGCCAAGCAGTCTTAAGGCATGAAATGTCTTTGCCCGCTGAAACACTGTAGTGGGTTTGAATACCATACGAGGTATGGATGTCTGCATTTCTTCTGTGTTTGTATTGTCCTGCATAAAACATGCCAGGTGGCCTAATACTAAAAGGCAGAAGAATTGAGGTATGTATCAACTTTCGTATGCCTAGCTACAACTGGTATGAAGCTATCACATTAAAATGTAAAAATACTTTCAAAAGTTATGGCTGGTCATGTCACAAAATAAGGAAAGCACGCAAAAAAAGTAAAATAAAATCACTACATGAAATTGGTGGAAGCATCATTTCCTTTATAATTATTCAGTTGTGAAAAGGTTTCCTGTAATTTGGTGAGAGACACATTTCACCCCTGCAGTTAGTTGCTTCATATGCAACATCAGTAAACAATATTACATTTTAAATCTTAGTAATGTTACAATTCTAATTAGTTTTAGGACCCAAGATCAGTTGCACTAAATCATCATTTTGCTACACTACACCATTAATGGTATAAAATCTGTATGGGAAAGGTGTGACTGACAAAATTAAAAATCGTATTAATTATGTTCTATTAAATTGTGACTAAAATTACTGCATATTTGTGCAATCGTTAACAGCTGGTGCACAAATTTTCTGCTTGAACTTGCAAAATTGTATATTTGGTACACATCAGCGCCAAGGAAAGCCTGTGTTAACTGCAATGAAAACTTCTTATGTGATACAGGAGATGTGGATCATCTGGTGGCAGTGGTTGCACTCCAATTGATTAAGAAATAGGGGATTCACTCTTAAGTTGATCATAGAACCCAGTTAGTAGCATCCTATGATTCAAATTTGTTCCAAGATAAGTAACAGATCAGCTAAGTCAATAGTGATATGGATATTATTTGTCACTTTCACACACTGAAGCAACATTGTGCTCTGTCAGTTTTGGAGTGGGTGATCACTTCTGCCCACTGCTCTGCTGTTGGCTAGTTCTTGGCTATATTAGTTCTCAATTTATGTTTATCAGCCAATGTGAAGCACATCAGTCCCTGTTGATGGAGATGCAGACAATCTTGAAACATCAGATTATTAAAATACATTGATAAGACCTGCAGAGATTAAACTTCACTGTATTCATCCACTGTTACATTTTAAATCCTGTGCCAATTCTGTGCATGTTTTTTTTTAAGACAAGTGTCATTGATCTTACTGGTTGTCAGTTTATGTTTGGTGAATTTTGGGGGGTTATTTTGCACACAGCTAGTGCTTGCATGTAACCAAGAGATGGAATAATGTGTTCAAGAAAGGCAACTTACTTTAATGTGATCATTTACTTATCATGAAATTCACTTGCAGTATTTAGATTTGTGAATAAATGCTCTTTAAAATTGGAATAAACTTAATTAAAACTAATCAACACACTATTTACAAAAGTAAATTGGAATTACCAATTGACAACTAACAGTGGTGTGGGGAAAGCAATCTCAATTATAGCACAAATAATATCACTTGGTATAGATGAATGTAATTCCACACATGACCTCTCAGCTGCTGTGGACTTATAGCATATGATACATTGCTACACAATCCAGTCATTTAAATATACACACACACACAGTATATTACCACAGTGAACATCATAAAAGTAAAAATGATTTGCACTAAAATTCTGGAATCACTGAACTTACATAGTCTACTCATGTGTGGTTTCTAAAGACAAAGGTGTGAATGAATACTATTTCTGAAAAAGATGAGCATCTGGATATGATTTGTGGAATATGAGATCTCGTGATAACGACTATGAAGAATACTGTGTTCTTGGATGTGACAACATGTAATCTTGTAGAAGTTTACTGATGTTTCACAAGAATGTATTGCCTTCATCATCAGGGTCAAAGAGTAAGCTCAGAAAGCAGAAACAATACTCTTCAGGGAGTGACTCAATTCAAACCCAATTGATCACAATGGAATTTCTTACACCATCTGTCACATTGATTGGCATGTAAGTTTTTATGGTGTTAATTACATATTCCATTCAATGTAGTTAAGGGAAAACAATAACATTCCGTGTATACAGATCGTAAGTTTGAACAGTTCTGTACACATTTCAATGTTTCTGTTATGGTAAACCTCGAGTATCAATCTGTGTCTCTGGTTTAAATTTGATGGAGTTTTTGCAGTCTGGTCGCTCCTAACTTAATTTTGAACACCACTGAACCATGCTGAACACTGACTCAATAAATGTTCACTTACCATCAGTCTTAAACTGATAACTCCTCACACTTTCAAACTCACAATTAGCCATAGGCAAAAACACGTTACCTTCAACTAAAATAAGTCTGCAACAGTTGCCTCCATGAATTTCTTATAAATGGCCATGAAGCTGGCAACAAATGCTTCAAGGTGGATGATGGGTTTGCTGCCCAGATGTATACGATGTTCAAAGAATGCTGCTTTTTCAACAATTTGAGTCTTCAACTGCATATCACAATTTTTAACAAGCTCTTGAAGTAGACCCTAAATAGTAAAATAAAGTTTCATCATATACCATCCAGTGTTAATAAGATGTTTGAGCCAGAAGCAAGTACCACCAACCAATGAACCACACAAGTTCTAGTTAAGAACAATGAACCATAAATGATTCAACTTACATAATTGACCAAAAATATTCTACTTCCACTTGTAATTTGTAAATGATCTCTTCTTCATAAATTTCAAAGTAACTTTCTGCAGATCTCACATACTGAATTGCAATGCAATCTGTTGAACAGTTTATGCAATACAGAGGAAAGTCCATTTCTGGCCTTTTGTAAATTAAGCTTTATTATGGAGCAATGAGTGAAAACTGGAATCACCCAATAACTTTTGAAGGAAATCTCCCATACTGAACTTTAAGAAAATCTGTCCAGCAGTTTAGGCTTTAGTGCTAGGTCAGACGTGAATGGACAAAGATGACTTCCACATAATGCATTTGTTTTTAATTTGAAAAAACTCCTAAAATTCAGATTATTTAGAATGATGGTAAAATTCACATACTTTGACACTTAACCCACAGAATTATAGGTGCAAATTCAACAAATGTCATCAATGCCCAAAGCCTCTGTGTTTAATTAAACACTATGCCATTAAGACATGAGACAGTGAAGGTATAGCTCCATATATTCTTAAGTTCAACACATAAAGGTAAACAGTCAGCTTCATGCCCCAGCTCCTTCACCCCTGAGGAAAGAACCCTACCAGTACCCATCGGAGAAGTGGCTGGGTGGGTCCAGAGCTTGTTTGGTTGCTGCAGAGAAGGGAAAATCTCCATCCCTGCTAAGAATCAAAGCCCAATTCCCTGATCATTCAGTTTGCAGACCAGTCATAATGAGTTTTCTTGTGTCATCACAGATTACATGTAATTATAAGAAACATGGCATTATATTGTTAACCTAAAACCCATACTGTTGCTGGTCCACTTGTCAGCAGCTGGTGCAAAGTTGACTTATAGTCTGCTGAGTTGCATGTTTGTTGCCAAGTTTAGTAAGACTATGATTACAAAAATTTCAATAAATATACCTCAGTCATTTATAATTGAGCATGCAGTAGTATAGTTGGGGCACTACACTACAAGCCAGAAAGTCATAGGTTAGATTCCTAATGAGGTCATTGGACTTTTCAATTGACTTAATCTTTCCAGCTACACTATGGCCCTGGGGTCGATTCAGCCTCAAACAGAAATGAGTACCAGGAATCTTCCTGGGAGTAAAAGGCAGATGTGTGTAATGCTGACCTCACTACCATCTGTGAGCCTCAACATCTCACAACCCTATGGACCTCCATGGCCCCATACAGTGATAGCTTTACCTTTATGTTTAGTCATTTATAATGAATATGAACAACCTCTGCCAACTTACTATATTGCCATTTTAGACCATCAGTCACCTAACTGTTCATAAAAATCTCCACCTTTTATGGAATTTGGTGGTTTATTATTTTGTTGACCAGGATCCACAAATTAACTCCTGAGCCAGCTGAATTCAGTCTGCACCCTAGTTAGTTAGTTAGTTAGTTATTTAGAGAGGGTGGGTTTCCCCATGCACCATGACCAGTTTGATCTATTGTGCTTCCCTCTCTGATATTCTACCAGTCTCTATACCCTACTGATAAATGGTGCGTACCATCAGTCCCACCGAGCAAGCGAGTTCGGCCACTTGCTTAGCGGTGTCTATAATGCTTCCCCCATCTATCAGAGGCCTTACAGACTATTGTTAGGCGGGAAACGTCCTGGAATTTGGCTCAGTGATCTCCTTTGGGGATATGAGGTTCTTTTACATGCCGTAAAGTTACGACACGGGACACACAGCTTAAAGTCCCTCCCGGAGAACTTGTTCCCTGAATTTTTCCGCCCTTAAAAATTCGACGACCTCCGCCGGGTATTTGAACCCGCGTACTACGAGTCATGAGGTGGGAACGTTACCTCTAGACTACGGAGGCCGCTAGTCTGCACCCTAACACCCCATTCCTTTAAGATAATTTTAATATTACCCTCTCATCTATGCCTGGGTCTCCAAAGAGCTCCCTTCCTTTCAGCTTTCCTGATCAAACTTTTGTATGACATTTTAAGTAAAAACAAAGATGCTGATGGGGGAGTAATATTAAAAAGTATTTTAGAGAAATGGGATGTCAGGATATGGACTGGATTCAATTAACTCAGAGCAGTGTCTTATGAACACAACAATGAACACTTCAGGTTCCATATTGATCATACAAGCCCTTAAAACTGCTAATCACTGCTGCAAGTACATATAGATATCTCACCTTAAAAATAATTTCACTCGGTATGCCATGAATCATAAGTTCATAAAGCCTACTGCGAATCTGCAGAAGCTTCTGTGGTGACTGTTCCAGCACAATCATTTTTGCTGTATCTTTAAGATATATTTCCCAGTCATGTGATGCCACTTTCTGATCAGGCTGGAATGGATATCTGTAGGAGGAAAACAAATACTAGACTAGTGAGGTTTCACTCTGCATTTCATGTTAAACCATGAAACACTATGCAATAATCTCCCCCCCCCAAAAAAAAAAGTTCAATATTTTTATCTTTGTTACAGTGCCATATCCTGAAGACACAATAAAATCTGATTATCTCAAAATGATTAGAGATTTTTAATTCATCACTGTGACATCAACACAGACCTGAGATCAAAATGACAGTTTCAGAATATGTTATATTAAAAAATAAGATATATCACTGAAAAAATCTGACAGTTTAATGACCTTACATGAAAAGTGTAATACTGCTGATACTCCTACCACATTAACCGTTCACATAACCACCAGTACGGCATTCAGATAGAATACATTTAAAAGAAATGAAATTTGAGTCCATTTCCAATAGCAAAACCTTCATATATTAATTTTTATAAAAACTGCTCCATTTGTTTGAGGATTCATTAAAAAGATGGAATGATGGATGGTTGCCTAGACGTAACTCTTTAACTTCTCTTCAGGAAATACAATGCTGTTATAGAATTAATATGTACATACTGTTGAACTTTGCAAGTCTCCAAAAAGAGTATGGCTCTTCGAAGATTCCCATTGGACTGAACAGCAATTCGTTCAGCCAGTTCATTTGGAAGAGATAAACCTTCCTTTCTGCAGACACTCTGAAAGTACATACCATATGTTACTATCTGTGAGATGTACATGTAATTGAATATTCAAATCTAATGACATCAAATAATGAAAAATATGAAATAGGAATATCTATAACAAATCACCAAGCTGTGATGGAATATGAAATGATTATTGAAGTGAAGTTCCACTTATTCTTGTTCTTGGCTCATGCAAATCACAGTGACTGATTAATTTCACACTCTGGGGGGGGATCACTAGTACCCACTGGAGAGAAGGATGTGTGAGCACCATAGTGCTGCTGCAAGCAGCAGAAGAGAAAAATCTCATCTTAGAATCAAATCATGATCAAACAGCTCACAGCCCATCACTTCACTAAGTGAGCTATCCCAGCTCATAATAAGTACATAAAATAAACCTAACCTACCTGAAGGATGTTAATAATCTCCTCTTTGTTTGGTGCTCCAACACGAACACCAAGACAACGGCTGCGAATGGCTGGTATAACCCGAGAAATTGTATTAGCAACAAGAATGATGCGACAGGTTGCTACATATTTCTCCATTGTTCGCCGAAGAGCATGCTGAGCATCTTTAGTCAAACAATCTGCCTCACAAATCACCACAACTAAAACCACAGCATAAATATTAACTGTTACTTCAGATGTCCAATGCTCTATAACACTAATAGAAAAGCACAGGATGCAAAATCATTATAAAAATGACAATACTGGGTAATAGAAAAGATGTGCCTTCTTCAGCTTCAGCACAATTTTCAAACTCGTGTACCAGTACAAAAGCAACAGGTTTCTTCTGAACAATATCCTATCTGCCTCACACTGCACAGGTATCTACAAAGTTAATTATTACTAGCACATCTACACATGCTTGCTTACAGTATAAATATTAATATCTAAATGTGGTACTGAAAACAAAGATCATTACTACCCACAATGAACATGTGGAATTAACATTTGAATACAAGGGCACATCAAATATCTTCAAAATTCAACAATCTGAGGTTTATAACATGGGCCTGCATCCTATTTCTGAGTTATGCAGCAACTACCCTCATCACTCAGCTGGCAAACTGTTGTGTGTGTATAACATCACAGGCTGTCCAACAAACTATGCATCCCACAGCACAGACATTGTAAGTTATTCAAGCTGGCATCAGTGAACTGAATAAAAAAAATATGAAGTTCCTAATTTTTTAGCTGTGTGCACTCCTTCTTCATTTACCCTCTTTCAACCGAAAATTCTCCTCAGTGCTTTGTGTGACATCACAGGTTAATCACAATTTTCAACACCCTACACCTCATAAAATACTTATTACCATGTTCCTACCTTTGAACTCTCTCTGGCCAGATGGGTCCAGCTGATGTGTCTGGGCTACAGTTTTGATCAACTCTTGTATTACAACTCGATCATGAAATCCGGCATCACTTGGATTGACTTCCAGGTGATAGTTGCTACTCACAGTGGTTATATCTATCTTTTTGTTTGAAGGTGTCTAAAAATATGAACACAGTATTTCACTTACATACAAGGTATTAAAATCATGAAATTAATGTACCAATCATAAGATTTTATCCATAAAAGACATTTCTAAGTTTTCAGAAATCAAAGCAATATAATTTTTTATATTCATATTACTAATATTCTTTAATAAATTTCTCCTATAATGTAGATAAAAAAGCATTACATTGCTTTACCTTTTTTTGGTGTTTCTCATATGAACAATTCTTTTAACAGCATTGATTGCTAAATCAGTTTCGACCTTTCCAGTAGGGTAGAACCCTAACTGAATCCAAACTTCGCCTGTGTTACCACTTTCTACCCATCAGTCTGTGCCCTAATATGACGATTTTTGTGCATTCTTCACACCAAGTGCATAAAGTGAATGCATAATTGGGAAGTCATTCCCATCAGTCCGTATGTTTCATTTTCGAAACTACTGAACAGAATTCAATGAGATATGATATTATGGGTACAAACTAACGGGAGTTTAAAACATTTAAGTTCAACTCATACTGGTATTATAACAATAGAAGAAAATTATTAATTCCATTATGTCACCAATTTCAAAAGTTTTTAGGATGGATAAACAACTACAAACACTGCGATCATCTCAGTGCTTCCCAAAAATCATTGAGCCATTCAACTGAGAGTTCTGACACTCCATAAGTCTAGCTGTCCTGTAGAAATTTGGGATGTAAGTAAAATGAATGTGCTCATGGGTAAACACATTACAGATAAAAAAGTTACCCAAATTAGAGTACATGCAGGAAAAGCTCTCTGTTGCTATTAAAACATTCCTGACACCTCCATAAAAAATTTACATTCATGCACTCAAGTTCTTTTCCGGAAAAAGTAAATCTGAAAATTGAAACCCTGGTCTCCTCCACAAGATTTCTCAGGTATTTTCATGGACACTGTCCAAGACTGGCACAAATTCCATCCATTTCTTTTCAGTGAGATATCTGCATCTGATTCAGGGTTTTGGGTGGGGAATAGTGCTAGGCTTGAACATTCTCCTAGCAACAGCAAACACACAGCTCATTCAGCATCTGCTATAGTCTGGGTTCTTTTGTTCGTAATTCATCTACCTGTAAGTTTTTAAATTCCATTAGCAGGCTGAAACTCCACCACCAAACCAGACAGGAGGCATGTCAGACTCTTCAGTCTCAGTGGCTGAATGATTTGCTGAAAAGTTCTAAGATGACTGCATTGTACTAATAAAACTTGGTTTCAAGAAGCCCTTAACCCTCACATGTGCACAAGAGCTACCTACTCACTAATGAATACAAACTGAAGCCAGATTTTAAGAACTGTCTAAAATGGCTCGTTGCATGAAAAATTTGTACATTTATCACATTATGTTCAACAATGAATGTGCAAACATGACCTGGACCCATTTTGTGTATGTCACACAATTAACAAAGAAAAATAATATTGCGGTCATTGTTTGGAATACTCTTTTGTCTCGAGAATATATTTATTCCAGTAATCTGGAAATTTTGATATTCCAATTTCAAATAAATATTTAAATTAATGTCAATACAATGCCTGGACTGAATTTTTCATCTTGCCATTTGATCTAAATTTCTTGCTTGTGCTCTTTCAACAGTAGAAACATCAGTCACACAAAGACAAATCATGCCTATAAAGAGGATTCAGAAGAACATTCCACACCAATTTGGTGTGTTTAATCAGATTAGCCATATGTGGATGACAGTTATCATGGAGAAAACAAACACCACTGGACAGAAAACCATGTTACAATTGGTTTCAGAGTTATCTAGCAGATCACAGCAATGACTATCAGTAATTACGTGATTCATTCCTGGCAAATCCACAAGAATAATACATTTAGTAACCTAAAACTTGGTGGAATCACTTTGTTTGCTTCTGCAACAGTATTCAATTTTATTGTCTCTTTTGTGTGTGTGTGTGTGTGTGTGTGTGTGTGTGTGTGTGTGTGTGTGTGGGGTGGGGGGTGGATGAATTTGTGTGTCCACTGTTGGAAAGCTTGTTTCAGAAATAAGGAACTAACAATGATCTGATCAGAGGTTATGACAAAGCTTACTCCCTTATCTCAAATGGCACTGATTCAGAACTAGTGATATTTGACCTATCACTGCTGTTTGCTTTGGTGACAAACATTTGGGCACCCACCACATGATGCCTTTACTGAACTCAGATAATTATGGGGTGTGGTGTCAACATTACCAACAAACACATTTAAGTTTTAATGCTAATTCAAACACCAGTATTCTTCTATTACTCCATTTGAATTCATCAACCCAAGCAACTGTCACATCACTGACTCCATTTGCTGGCCTTGCTTATAGTATTTTGTTCTCTATTTAAAGATCTGCTTCATCTGAATGCTTATCACAATCATGATTCCCCACACAGTGGATGATGCCTCTAGGTAAATGGAGACCCTTCAAAACCTCCCTTATACACATTTAATAGTAGTACGCTGTTCCTCTAGACATTTTGATTGCTGTGACTAGTGAACAGCTGAAACTTCACACAGCATACAAATACACCAATAATTTACATCATACAATAACAAAATGTGCCAACTATATGTGTCGAAAACATAAAGTCCAGGACAAATATGAACACAACTATATATAACCTCTTTATTTTACCATCACAATACAGCACAGCTGTGTTGTGACGGTCAAATAAAGGGGTTGTATATATTGTAACACAGCAGGATGCATGAAATTAAAATTATGAACACAACTCATGTGACATTTATCTGAAAAGTCTTCTTCAGTAATTACAAAACATAAACTTTTAATTTGGCCTTCACATACCATTCCACTTGACCAACAATGTCCAAATCAATTGTTCTGCATGTCTAGGAAAAATCTCACATTAAAACTCAACCAATTAAATGGCCAAACTGAAAAACACGAAGGGACTAACACACTTCTACAAATGGCATTTCTTTTTGTTGTATAAAAAATTCCTAAAGACTTGCATGTGGAAATACCTGCATACTTCATGAAAGAACTAGATAAAAAAATTCTACAATTTTCTAATTCTTTGACTCACCTGGATGTTCATATGTTCTAATCGTAACCGTTCTACTCCGGGTCCATATAATTCCCGAAGCAAACAAAATATACGTGTCTTTTTTCCTGCACCTGATGGTCCATACACTAAGAGATGTGGGAAATCACCTTGTTGAACCTAAGGAAAAATTTAATTAATTTAAAACTAATGGAACATCACCTTGTTGAACTAACATAAAAATGTAATTGAGTACTAAAACTAACAAATGAACTAACTAGCTAGCTAATGGCATTGAGAAAAGTTCTTCTTGGGAAGCTAACAGTTACTAAGCTACTCAAGATATTATATAACCTGAAAGTTCTGTTGCATGTTCACAACAATCTGCAAGTATTACAATTATTGTATATAACCTGAAAGTTCTGTTGCATGTTCACAACAATCTGCAAGTATTACAATTATTGTATAAGTGTATATTCACCTCATACCTTAATACCTCAAAGTAAGTGAAAGAAATGTTCATTTAACGGCACTTGGTCTGTATTTATGACAGTTCTCCGAATGGACCATTAATACACACACACAAACCCATCCAGTACATTCATTCAAATATTTTGATTTGCATCTAATGAAACTATGCACAGATATATATATATAGGGAAAGAGACCTAATATTATGTTTTACTGAAAATACGTTTATTAATAAATTAATACACCAAGTAAATAACTATACACAAAAATTCGACACACTGGGTTCACTATCGATCCGCATTTGGGTTATGGAATTTCATACGAAATTTATAATCATACACGATTACAGTCTCTTAATTATTTCTTAATAAATACAGTCCTCAGTAGAATAAAAGCCTACGTTAAAAGCAATTCTTTCAGTGCAACTTCAAACTGTTTACTTTTAGTGGATAACTCTTCAATGCTGAATACTTATACATAAACTTATTAGGTTTTTTTGACAGACTGTCAAGCTAGAACCTAGTCTATGATGATCATACATATATAATCAAATTTTAAAGAATATTCATATATAACGTAAAAATATACACATATATCTTGTCTAAATGTCAAGACACACCATATTCTTTAGATGAAGAGCTTGCGCTTTATGGTAATCTAATTTCGTTAAAGAATTTGGTCGGTATTTATCAACCCACAGTGACATATTTCACTCCCAAAATTCTGTATAGTTTCAAAACTTCGACTAAAACACTCTCTTAACAACGACGCTAATTCTGTTTACATGTGTTTGAAATGCTCATCCGAACATCGGAAATTTTAGCGCTTCAGAACATAACCTCGCATTCTTTTTGTCAAATAAGATCTTACGCAGTGAGCCCAACAACGCCAACTAGGAATCGCAATTTCCCTTCGGAAATCGCAATCATCAGAATCATCAGAATGATATACATATATTGGTGCGATTTTCCGAGAACTGCGTTGATTCGTAAAATTTAGTTGTAAAATAACAGTACAAAAAGTATACATATTTTAAATAACAGATACAAAGAGTCAATAGTTAAGTGTCAAAATGTAGCCCAATTTGAAATACATCTACTAATTTCTTCTTTGCAGTTTAGAGTGGGATTAATGATTTATTGATGGTCTGCTGGGGCGATTAAAATGACCCTTCGTATTATTAAATGTGTGAATGTACATGTAAATATTGTACAGGATAGCCCAGAAACAAGTTGATGACCTTTACTTCAAGGATTTTCTTTAGTCATGCGTTGAATCACATTAGCATTCATCAACTTCTAAGTCTACCATTATCAAGTCTGAATAAACTCTGTACAGTGGTACAGGCACTCATATTAGGTCGAGATAGACAAGACCTCCATTTATGGTGCTCATTTGACTTTTCAGATATGCTATATATATATTCATTCATTCATCTGTAATCTGTCAAGACGACAGGTCCACAGTCTCTTCCAAAACAGTTCCTCCACTTGATGCGATCTAGAGCTTTCTCCTTCAAATGAAAATATCCTCTTCTGTCCCCAAGGTCATCCAGCATCTTCTTACGTCTTCTTCCTCGTCTTCTGGTCACTTCTATCCGCCCCTCTATCTTTCCTTCAATAACTTCTTTTAGAAGGCAGTTACCGCGTAAGATATGACGAATCCAATTAGCCTTCCGTTTTCTTACATCGTGTAGGATATTCCTCTGCTCACTGACTCTAAATAACACTTCTTCATTTCTCACATAATCGGTCCAACTAATCTTCTCCATCCTTCTCCAACACCACATTTCAAAGCTTTCCATGTGTTTCTGATCTACTGCCCTAAGTGTCCAAGTTTCAGCCCTGTACAAAGCAATGCTCCAAATGTAGCATTTCACTCGTTTCTTTCTCACATTTAAGTCCAATTTGCTGGTAAAAAGATTCTTCTTGCTAAATGCAGCTTTTGCCATGGCAATCCTAGATTTAATTTCACAATATATATATGAGAAAATATTGTGGTGCTGAAAAAATCGATATGCAAGATTTTTGTGGATTTGCACATTATCAGCACCCCTGAATACATCTAACATGGGGTAAGGCCATGAAATCATATGGGGGGGGGGTGCAGGTTTATTTCCACACATTAACCCAGGCACTAGATGGTGAGTTGTCAGCTTCATGCCCCTGGTGATTTATCCCTGGGAAGTAGCCCCCATTTCCGATTAGCTATGAGGCTTGGTGGGCCCTGGGCTCACTTAGACACTGTGGTGAAAAGAAACATTTCTTGCGCCTGCCAGGAATTGAACTATTTCCTCCAACGTCGATTCCATAGACTGTGTCACTGTATCAACTGAACTACCCTGGTTAGGAGCACCATGTATTTTATATTCAAAGTGTCACAATACCAGATCATGCCAAGAGAAATACACAAGTAAAAGGTAAAAAAAAGATAAAGTTGTCCCTCTGCTTAATTAATTAAGCACAACTCTATGAAGATGTATGGTGGAATGAAAATATAGCTCCACCATTCTTCACCTTGACACTAGATGGATGTGAGTGGTTAGCTTGATGCCGCGGACGCTTTACCCCCAGAGGTATAAAACAGAGGTCAACCATAAAGATTCACACCATGGCAACATTCTTCACTTTATTAATTCAACTGTGATCATAATACAATAGTAAACTTTTATTCTACCCCATACAAAAGAAGAGTTCATGTAGAACAACTAAAGTGATAATTAATTCTTCTTAGTTATTAATAACAAAAGGTCTCAATATTAATGATATAATGACTACAACTATTGAACAGTTCAATACCCTGATTAATTAATTTTTCATTTTATTGCACTTGTCAACAAGAAACGTATATTTTATCAACTTAAATATCATCTTTACAAAGACTGCTTTTTTGTAACAAAATTGTATAATTTATTATTTACTCTCTTTGTGTAAATGAATGAAAATGAAACAAGTTCTATTTGCATTACTTTTGTATTCTACTCCAGTGAACACAAATTTATTTAAAAAATACAAGTATGCTAAATCAGCTGTGAATAATGATTATTTGATGGAAATACTTCACTTCTTATAGATATCCACCATAACAAAAGTTTGACATGAGCTTATTCTGATAAACATGTTATTAGTAAAGTCAGAAAACGTGTACAATACACACACAAAAACAATCTGCAGATTCAAATAAGGGATTATGTTGTTTATACAGCATTAATGATGATCAACTCATTTGATGTTGTAAATGTATGTGATGATAGGTGAGGAAATACCTGATTCTGAAACCTTTTACCAGAACAAAACACCTAGAAAGAGCACTAATCATCACAGAGTCCTACATCATATAGTAATTTTACAAACGCTGTTCAGAATCATGACACCAAAATCAAACATTTTCAGAAGTAAATCTGCAGTAGCATAACATGACAAGGTCCAATATTTACAGTGCTATGTAAATGATTTTAATTTTGCATGATCCCATCTCTTACAGACTTTTCCATTCCTCAATCCTCTGGTATTTCATTCTCAGTTGCATATAAAGTGACTGAAGACAGGAATGCAAATTAATAAATATTTATACATGTTATGAGATCTTTTTCTATGTATATTTACAAAGTATTCAACATCTGTAAATATTTAACCTTATGTACAAAGTTAATAAATTAATCTGTAAAAGTATCAAATTTCAACTTAACTAATTTATCATCTGATACACGAAGATGTTAATAAATGGTGGACAGTCATTTATAAAAGTATTACATCATTTCAGAATCATGTTCATACAACATCGGAAAAGGCAAACATTCCTATTAGAGAAATATGCACCTGAATTAGGAAGAATACGATTTCCAGCATTAGAAAGTGTTACACAGTGTTGCAACATGATATACTTGGTACAGTTTCATGTTTATGGCCATCTGCTTAAATGTATATATTTGTATACATGCTGAAGTGTAAAGGTACATGAACTGCAAAGGATTTATACATTTCATGACTGCTGGTTACTTAGTGGCATTTTGTCATCATCGTTATCACAAATATGTGCTATTTTTTAAGTTGCTGAGACACAGCTAAGAAATTTGAATTTATATCAATCAATTCAAAAAAAAATATGCTAAAAAGAAATTTGCATAATTCTATTTAAGTACTTGAATACTGTGTTGGTACACTTACCAACCTCTGCCACTTATTTCCAACTTACTGCACAAGATGATTAAACACATCTACTTTTTAATACTTTTTAAGTAACAGTATTATAAGGAACAGGTGCTCCAACTGGTGTTGTTGGAGGTGACTGTAACATACAAGGCGTTGGATTTATATGAGGAAGGCCTGGCATTGTTTGCATCCATCTTGGTACTGATATGTTAGCTTCAGGTCCGGGGCCTGTGGGATATACACCAGCAGGTACAGATGTCTGCTGAAAAAGTACAGGTGTTGGTGGTTGAGGATAAATAGTGTATGGAGGAAGACATCCATTCTCAGTGTTACCTGACTGTTTTACTGGACTGTAAATGGCTCCTGTGAAGTGTGATGGAACAGCCTGCACATCTGGCACTGCTGTTGAAACTTCTACAGCATCTTGTGGCTCCAACTGTACAGGAGAACTAACTGTATACTGGGGGTAGTATGGCACAAGCATCATTCCCTGCTCAGAATCCATGGGGAAATAGAATGGTACCATGGTATGATTGTATACTGTTGGGGGCATCGGAGTGAAGGCATATGGGACAGTAGGAGGTGGAATATTATAGCTGGTAGTAAGCACAGCTGGGGGACTACTCTGTGCAGGTGAACCAATGGTATGTCCACAACTAACTTCCGAATCTTCTGATTGCTGAGGTGTTACATGTGCTTCAAAAGGCTCACTGTGTCTTGCTGAATTTTGGCAAGGTCTTCCAACATGAGCTGAAAGAAATAAGCAAGATAAAGGAACCAGGGTTAGTTGCACATTATATTAATGATAAACAGTGAGTAGAAGGAATACAGTGTACCTTATGATAGAGGTCTCAACATTTTCAGCTACATGACCTACTTTTTAAAAAATGTTATACTCAACAGCTGACTGACAGAAACAACAATCAAGTGAGCTGAATGCTATTGGCAGCGCCTTTTAAAATTATGAGTTTGCCTTCAATGTCACAAAAAAATAGCTGAAACAGCTATTTATTTTTACTCTAAACAGAAGTGATTTTTCAGACAGGTAATTTTACAAAATATGGCACATCTCACATAAGGTACGCACACAACCCACTGATCAGAATACTGTAATATTAAAGGTAACTTTGACTATGCCAAATTAACGGCCACAACCTATAAAAAGCGGCACTTTATCAATTTAATAGCTTTTACACATGGAAAATCATCACATAACTGGGGGCTTTACCCAGCAGATTCGTCATAATGAGTGATTCCTACATAACCATCCCTGTCTTTACACAATATGGTGCACCAACTATACTTCCAGTTTTGCTTCAAAAATTATTCATGGCCAGCAGCCCATAAAGGTCCTGTTAAGTCAACCCCTCTGCCCTATCCTTGTATAAGAGAAAGTTCACATTCCAAAATCTGTGAGGAGATTTCCTCTCCAAGTTTTAATTTTAAGCACTGAGAAGATTACATAACATGATGTCCACTGCACTGTTCAGTGTCTTCCCCTGAGCTTCACCTGGACTAGGTGGAATTTCACAGAATAAAAGCATGCAAGCATGTTTCAGATTTTGTCACATCAAACAGCTGTGTTGTGACTGGTTCTGACTTTAATTTTTTAAAAACCCCAATTCTGGCAAAGAAATGGAAGGGAATAGAACTGAATATGAAAATAACACATTTGAATGAAGTTGGCAGCTCATCAAAAAGTGTTACGGATTAATTTCTTTGATATCCTTTACACTATTAAAGAACAAAGAGAAACTAACTATGTTCCCTCATTTCATGAGTACATATTAGTGAAATCTGTCTCACAATCTCAGTTTGTGACTGTGTGACACACATAATGAGATCAGATCCAACAGAGATGCTGGGGCTACAGATGGTATGGATCCTATTCAGGAGTCTTATAAAAAGGGTTTATTTACAGCACAAGTATGACAACATGAATGTGTCATTTGAAAAAAAAAATAAACAATTATGGATTCACTTACATTTTATGTGGCAACACCATAAAATGAGTTTTAGTTAAGAACAAACTACTGATTCACAACCATCACTTACACACCTAACACCAGAAACTTTTGTGCATTCCAGACAGGGTGTTTAGAATATATCCAGGACATAGTGTATGCACCTAAGTATCAGTACAATTTAAACTGCTTCATGTTTTATGTCTCTTACTCAAGTTCAATGTTTATTGTAACACATATGGCCAATTGGTGAATTATGGGTGGAAGACAGGTTGAACTTGGGAGCATGCAGAAAATTGTGAGTGGAATATGAGTGACTTGTGATTCTTGTTGTGCAGAAAATAGTGGACAGGACTTCAGAGCATAAAAGGTGGCTTCTAATTAGCAGTCGGTTGCAGGTAATAGGTTATGTACATTTTCAGAAATCTCTAACCTTGTATTTCAGATAATGCTACAGATGAAGAGAATGCTGAATTGCTTTTAGTTATTTTCACACAGCCGTGACATGGAAAAATATTGCCTTAACTACATTATTATTTAAACCCTGGCATCATATTGCACTCTACATAATTGAAAGTTAGTGATACACATGCAGTTACATATTTCAAAAATTTTCAGATATTACAAGCATTCATCACACCATATATCTTTAGGAATTTTATAAATTCTCATAATATCAAGGTTCTACTAAATTTAAATAACCGGGCCCAGAAAGAATCACTACTTGCCACCTACATTCCCTTTAGACTACAGCATGAGTGTAAACAAGGAGCTATTTTCAAGAATACTCACAATTTTGTATTCTATTTTCTCTGCCATCAGAGGGATTCTTATTGGACCTGGACACAATATCACCATTAAATGCTTTCTGTAATGCATTTGAGACTTCCATGTCAACCTGCTTTGCCTGCCAGGTGACACTCTCATTTCCTCCACCACTAGCATGAAAACCTGTTTTATCTGACTCAGTGGATACATGTACACTGTGATCATTTGGCAGCATAATATTAGGAGTAACTTCTTGTCCAACTTGATACAGATCTTCTTGCAATGATGGTGCTGAATCTGTAATGTGAAAGGTTATTGCCATATAAAAAGTGGACAAATTAAAAAAAACACTCGTACAAACCTTCAAATTTTTATAAGGAGCAAATTAAGCCTCAAGGAAGATGAGACAGGTGGGACAAGGAGCATGTGGGAGGAAGATGAGAAATACATAATATATGAAAGATCGCAAGTCGGAACATCTGGATAGATGAAAGAATGCTCAAAGAAACTTAGTACAACACGGCTGATCATAGTGACCACATGGTCTAAGGCATGAAATGTCTTTGCTTGCTCAACACCAGGATTATGGGTTTGAATCCCATTCAAGTCATGGATGTTTGTCTGCGTTTTTTCTGTGTTTGTGTTGCCCTGTGTATACAGGGGCCTTGTCAAAGGCTGATACCCCATCCAAGAAGTCCTACCAACTGTCTAAGATCAAGAAACTGATGTGAAATGAAGTGTTTCATGGATGCCCTATGCTCCAAGTGGGAGCAACAGGAACAAAGATAGATACCTGTAAATAGTACTACATGGGAAGATAATATTGAAGCTTATTGTCAATAACAACAGTGTGAGGATGTGGACTGGATTCAACTGGTTCAAAAGAACAGGGTCCAAAGGTAGACCCTTGTGAAAACCTCGATTTCATAGAATGTGACAAATTCTCGACCATCTGAGTCACTATCAGATTCTCAAGATGTACTCTGCCTCATACAGTTGTTTTCTGAGATATATGGAACTTCTGGAAAAACAATAAAACAAGTTACCAATTTATGTCCATGTTAGGTGGGTCCCTTGTCACCAGGGCATGGGGCATCCTCAGGCTGCAGATGGAGGAGATGCCCTCCAGTTTTGGAAGGAAGCTGTGAATATACTGAATAAGCAGTCGCAGACAGCCAACAAGGAGTGGTCCTCCAGCTTGGGGGTTGGGCGTGGGGCTAACAACTCCTCGCCGTAACAAATAATTATGTTACAAAAATGAACACAATTTATGTATGAGATTTGGCACTTGGAATGTTCGAAGTTTGTATAGGGCAGGTTCACTCAGGGCAGTGGTAGAAGAAATCTTAAAATATAAGTTAGATTTAGGAGTACAGGAGGTCAGATGGAATGGAGGTGGCATTGCACCAGCAGGAGACTATACATTTCTCTATGGAAAGGGGAATGAAAATCATGAATTAGGTACAGGCTTTTTCGTACATAAGAGAATCGTATCACCGGTTAAGAGGGTAGAGTTCATTAGTGATAGGATATCATATATAATACTAAAAGGTTGCTGGTGTGATATCATTGTTATGAATGTTCACGTCCCAACAGGAGATAAAATTGATGTCATAAAGGATAGATTCTATGAAGAACTAGAACATGTATTTGATAAATTCCCAAAGTACCCTATGAAAATTTTGTTAGGAGATTTCAAACCCAAAGTAGGGAGGGAAGACATTTTAAAACCAATTATTTGGAATGAGAGTTTCCATTAAATTAGTAATGATAATGGAGTTAGAGTAGTAAACTTTGCCACATCAAAAAATCTTACTGTCAAAAGTACAATGTTCCCACATCGTAACATCCATAAATTTACATAAATTTAATTTACATTAAATGGGACACATCAGCTGTTGGCCTATGCCAATGATGTGAATCTACTGGGTGATAATGTAGATACCATAAAGAACAACACACAAACTTTAATTGACACAAGTAAAAGGTTGGTCTAGAAGTAAACACAGAGAAAACTAAGTATATGTTACTGTCTCGTCACCAAAATGCAGGGCAAAATCATGACATAAAGATAGGAAACAGACGTTTCGAAAATGTGGCACAGTTCAGATATTTGGGAACAATGATAACAGATTGAAACCTGATTCAGGAGGAAATTAAGAAGAGTTGATCTCGGGTAATGCTTGCTACCATTCAGTCCAGAACCTTTTGTCTTCTCTTCTGCTGTCCAAAAACATAAACATTCGAACATACAAAACTATAATTTTGCCTGTGGTTCTGTATGGGTGTGAAACTTGGTCTCTTACATTAAGGAAGGGACATAGACTGAGGGTGTTTGAGAACAGGGCGTTGAGGAGAATATTAGGACCAAAGAGAGATGAAGTGACAGGAGGTTGGAGGAAACTGCATAATGAGGAGCTTCATAACTTGTCCTATTCTCCAAGTATAATTAGAATTATCAAGTCAAGGAGGATAAGATGGGCAGGGCATGTAGCACGAATGGGGGAGACGAGGAATGCATATAGGATATTGGTCGGAAAGCAAGAAGGAAAGAGGTCACTGGGAAGACCAAGGTGTAGATGGGTGGACAATATTAAAATGGATCTTAGAGAGACAGAATGGGATGGTACGGATTGGATTGATCTGGCTCAGGATAGGGACCAGTGGGGGGCTCTTGCGAACATGGTAATGAACATTTGGGTTCAATAAAATGCTGGGAAATTCTTGAGTAGCCGCAGAATTGGCGGCTTCTCCAGAAGGGCTCAGCTCCATGAGTGAGTGAGTGAGTGAGTGAGTGAGAGTGAGTGAGTGAGTGAGTGAGTGAGTGAGTGAGTGAGTGAGTGAGTGAGTGAGTACCAATTTATGTAGGAAGTAACAATGTTTTTCTATAATGTCCCATTTATATAAGTATTCTCTATGAGTTTCTGAACTTATTTAGTACTAAAATTACAGGTACATCCCAGAAGCCTGTAATCTTCATGTTCACAGCTGTGAGAACCCCAAGCATCACATACTTGGTACAGAATATAATTCAAGAAGTGCAATCATGGAGACAGTGTTAGACAACAGCATATTAACCAAGAGAAGTATTAAACAACTTCTCCAGCATACAGCCATATGTCATAAATCTCACATTGGCCAACATGAAATTCTGTACTGAATATATTGTAATATATTCAATGTAACATAATTAAAAACTGTACTAACCTGGCATGTGGTGCTCATTTGTTATGTTGTTCGAAGTCATCACAGGATTGCAAAAAGTTGGATTTTCACTGTAATTTGGTGTCATAGTGGGTGCAGGAAGAAAATTTGGCTTTGCTTGTTGCACAGAATTAGGCCAATACATACAGCTCAGCCGAAAGTACTGTAACATTAGGAATGCTTTTATGTTATTAAATATTTGTTCATAAAAGAAATAGTACATTTATACAATTGTCAAGTTTCATTTCACTCAATATAAATTCATGCCCTTGCTCTTTAAATGCCAAATAATGCTCATGTGTGCTTCGGTGTCTTCTTAAATAAACAAACGATCACAGAGCAAATATTAACATTAAAAATTTATGTATGTTTGATATACAGAAAAATGATTGCATAATACACCATATTTGCTGATAAATAAGGCATGGAATTCTCCCCTATATTATCACAGTACACCTTATACAGCAATGTGCTTTTGAGGAAGTACTTTTTTAATTTTTCCTTTCTAGATCATTATGGGTCTTATTCACTCTGAAATTCGAAATGATAACAGAAGCAAGGAATATAACTGACAAAGAGCAACTATGTGCTCACCCAAAAGAATATTCATGTCTGCAGCCACTTCCTGATGAACTTGAACTTCCAGAAATGCCAGCGTTATATATATATATATACATATATATATTTTTTTTTTCCCCCATCATCACCCTTCCACATACCCCACTGCCTTGGTAATCATTTACCAAAGGTAAAGCAGTTTGGGCATGAACCTGATCACTCCCTTCTATTACTAATGTGTAAGCCTTATCTCCACACTCTGTACATGCCTTCACATCATGGTGCTTAGACACAGGGAGAATATTATCTCAAGTTAAAAATCATTTCTATGTAGTTGTTGACAATCTTGGATGTGCCTACTTGATCATAATATCAATGAAGATTTACTTTCCACCCCAGATAAGACTCCATGGCTTCAAACTTAGCACAGATACGTTATCCTTCCTTAAATTTTTCCCTTCACAGCTGCTGACAATGTGGGACACACTTTCCCGATCTGATACCAATGGAAATTAACCTCATGCCCTATATATGCCATCATGCCTTGGTGCTTAGCATAGGTGCAACTTTAACTTTAGTTTGGAATGTTTCTCACAAAGTTTTCAATTGCTTGGGATGCACTTCCCTGACAAGGATGTCATAATACCAGTAGTGATAAAATAAGAAAAAAAATCCCTTAGAAGAATAATGTTGGATTTGTAACCAAATTTAAGATCAGGGTGAAGTCCTTAGGATTAGTATATATGACATTTACATAGGTAATTGTATATAACATTGTAACGAAAAATACATTATAATTTAGCAAAACTTACATCATGTCCAAGATTATAAAAGAACCGGAGAGTGGATAGGTCTGAAAAAAAAAATAAACATTCAATTTTCAACTTGAAAGTAGTTTACAGAGTCAGAACAGCAATCAAAACACAGATAAGTATACAAAATGTTGGTCAGAAAACTCGATGAAAGAACACCACTTGGAAGACAACAGTGTACGGAGGGTAATATTAAAATGGATCTAAAAAAACAGGGTGGAAGGATGTGAACTAAATTCATTGGCTTATGACAGAGGCCAGTGGCAGGTTCTTGTGAATATGGTAAGAATCTCTGGGATTCTGACAATATAAAGACATATATTAAGAAAATATAAATTACCACAGAATGACTGAAGTGATATACTGGGGTCAGGAATTTCAACTGTGTACAGAACAGAAAAGCTTTACAATTCATCACTAATGTCAACTGCACATAAATTTAATACTTACCTGATAAAGGCAAATCACTGCCACCAATCTGAACAGATTTCTGTGCCATGAAGTTCACTGGCTGAAACATGAAGTTTCCACTGAAGTCCCTTGGTGGGTGATTATTTCCTCCTGGCATGCTAGCAACACCCATGTTTGCTCCAGACACACCAGTGTTACAGACCATGTATGATGGCGTGTTACTTTTAGTACAAATCGTATCACTGAAGGAGGTGGAAGGATTCATAATTCCAGGATTATTAGAACTGGATCCTGGTTGGGGACCAGAGGTAGGAACAGGAGCTTGTGACACCAGTGGTGGTGAGTTAGAGTATGCTGTAAAAGATGTGAACTGTGCTGGGGAAAGAGACAGCGATGGATCAACAGAATCTGTCATTACAGGCTGCTGTGAACATGACATGTCAGTGGTAGAATCTGGCTGCTGCAGTGGTGACAGACATCTTTCTGGACTGCTGTGACCATGTTCACCAGATTTGATTATGCTGTTGGCAGCAATTGATGGTGAAGTCAAGGACATCATCATTGCTTGGGTCATTGTTGGACTAGACGTGGAGTTGTGCTGCTCTAACATCATAGATACACCAGGCATATCAATCCCAACATTCTGCAAGAAAAATAAACAATACTAAAGATATCCAAAATTCAAACTAAACTAAAAAAGTCAGACAAAAATAATGTATTTACGGGTATGAAATATCTTAATCACATGTTAAATCAGTTGCCACAATATATTAATGTGATACCAGTACTATACAAGTTTAAAAAGACTTTGAAAACATTCCTACTTGATCATTGTTTCTATAGTATAGCTAAGTTTCTCTTATTTGGGGGAAAATACTAGTTCTTATCACTTGTAAACATATATTTCAATAATAATTAACTTGTAGATTTTTATATTAGTAATGTTAAAGGAATGCCTATTGCCCTACTCTGTATTTTTTTCTTACAAGAATGAGATTGAGGATACCAGGGTATTCTGTGCTGGGATAGAAGGATTGGGTCTTGAGGCGTACAGCGGTGTCATGTGTTAAACGATTATATTAGTTCTATTATTAGAATCATCATTTCATTATTTTATTATTATTATTTATTATTGTAAAGTATTTGATTGTCCTATATCATGTATAATGATCCATGAAAATAATGTAAATAAATAAATAAATAAAAATAGAAACTGGTTTAGTTTTCCTATGTATCACTCACACTGTAGGCAGATTATAAAACTTTGACACTGACTCAAATTCTTATTAATTGAATATATTCCCTTCAACACTGTCTCCTTCTGACTGCACACCCTTATTTCAGTGTTATTGCTGATTAGTAAAGAATTTCTGGTACTTCATTTTGAAATGTTGTTCAATTCCTATGTCACAGTTTAGATGATGTATGTCTCTCCTAAATTGTCTTCTCCTTAGGAGCTTCTCACTTGTGGTCTAGAAAACATCACTGTAATGAGGCTGTAGAAAGAAGTCCCATGGATTGGTACTGTCTACATCTCCTTCAAGCTGTTATGCTTCCCAAATTCTGTTCACATGAATACTGGCAGTGAGGACCATCTGATACCTTTACTAGCGACAAGCATTTTAGGCTGGTTGAGAGAGGACAAAGAGGGCTAGAGGGGAATACAACAGCAGACAGTGTGTGAGAAGCCTTGGGCACTGTCGGACACTCATCTAAAAGTCCTCTTGGTGCAGCCTCAGCACTGGTGCACTACATATATATTTTCAATTTTTGCCCAACACTTTTCTTCTGTTCCTTTTGTGAAATTACATGTGTCAACAGAATCAAAACATAAAACCTACATTGTAATGCTGAAGACGACTGAAATTTTCTGGTGAAAAGTTCTGGAAGGGAAGCTGAACTTGATTTCCAATCTGCTCATGTAAATATCTGAAAATAAAAACAAATTTTCCACCATGATTATATGTACTTATTTCAAGAGTCAGTAATTTTGTGTTTCAAAAGCAAAGTATAGAAGATCATAGTAATTGTAAAATTGCACCTGACTCCTCAAAGTAAGGACATAAATTACTTTATTTTTTTATTATTTACTTCATGACTCTGTCAGGAGCTCAGACTATATAGTGTCAAATGGTAAAATGAATAGTGAAAATGAAGTGGAAAGGATTTGGAAGGAGTCATGGTCTAGGTAAATGGCAAGATGGGTAACTGCCTTGTGTCACTCAGTCACATTCAGGCTAAGCAACATTGAGCTTGATGAGTTTTGGGATGGGCGACCACCAGACATAACTCATAAATAACATTAAGGCTAAGCAAATGTTCAGCTTGGTCTGTTCTGGGATCAGTGGCCAACTGACGTCATTCACTATCACATTCAGCCTAGGCAAAATTGATCTTGGTGAGTTCTGGGATGGGTGAACACTTGCATCTTTTAGCTGGATCAATTCTGGGATGGATGATCACATGACTCCACCCACTATTCTCTCAATAACTAGTTCATAAATAATAAAGACTGACCTCTGTTTGTTAACAAAGAAAATTTTCAGTTTACTGGTTAACAGAATTCCAGTTATTCTCCTAGCTGACTTGAGGGCAGTATCCAAGTTTTCTGTGACTTTCAAACTAAGGGTCATGAGGCTGTCTCATGTGGGTTGATAAATTAAAGTAAATGCTGGAGACATCAAAAACCCATTGTCTATTAGACCAGTGGTTCTCAACCTTTGTCAGACCGTGGCCCCGTAAATCCTTTTTTTTTTTTTCTATAAGATGAGGGATTTCAGAATTTGTCATTGAACTCCTTGGAAATGGGAAGGCAGATTGCTATCACAAACTCACATTTCTGGATGTGGATATAACAAAACAATTAAAATTATCACAAATGAGCTGATTCAAAAATATTTAACTGAGAACATTCAGTATGGGTGATTTTAACATGTGTCTGATTTTAATTCCACATAAAGGCATTAACTTTTATGTTGTATAGAAGACGCTTACAAGTGCTTGTAATGGTCAGAGGTAAATACAAATCTGAAGATTAAAAATACGTAAGTATAATCTAACGTGTTGCTTACACAGGTGTAAATGTTCTCTCGCTCCAGTCAAAGAAAATGGAGGAGAATATTTTTACTACGAGAGAAGAAGTAACAGGAGGATGAAGAAAATTATTTGTACTCTTCATAAACTATTTTTAGAGTGATCTAATCAAGGAGAAGCTGTGCTGGACATGTATTTAGCATGTCGGAGATGAGCAATTCATACAAAATTTGAGTTGGAAAATCCTGAGAGAAGAGACCATTAAAAAATTCCTGGATAGAAAATTAGAATAATATTAAAACTGATGTGGACTAGCTCAGTGATGAGAAAACTTTCAGACTCATTGCCACAGGTAATACATTAACCAACTGAAACCGTTTTCTTCTTACCTCGTGTTATGCTGTGTGGAATGTTTGATTGGTCCAGCATTCATCTTACTGTTGTACTGCAAACGAGGAGACAGAGGTGTGTGAATGATACCCTCCTTCATCTTGCGGGGCTTTCCTACTTTTGACTTTTTCCATTTGCCACCTTATTGAATAAGAGAGATGTTATATAAAAATGAGTTTCAGATAAGTAGCTGAACAGGTAAAAGTATGGACAAATATAAGGAGCAGCAACTTACCAAAGTCTGTGAGCGCTAGAAGAGCTGATTTCTGTTGTGCACTGGACAATTGGTGGCAATGTTTATATGGTAAAGACCACTGAGGCTTTTCACTCTTTGGCAGAGGCTCTAAGTTATCATAGGGAACTGTGCACCTACAGAACATAAAGAATATTTTAATTCAAACATAAATAAATGATTAGGTATGTTATTAAAAAACTAGAGATGTCCTAAATTCATTCCTTTGATCATGAAGAATGTTCACTGTTATAAAACATATTGTAGCCTGCAGAGCTGTTACTATACACTGACCTCAAGATAAACGTATATATCACAGCTGTTACTGGGTAACAAGCTTTCCAAACACAACACATTCCTACAGAAACAATTTGAGCAACATCTCCACGACAACAATCAACACACAACATCAGAGGTACTGTTGGAAGTGGTGTGTTCTATGGTGGTCCACGCCGAGGAGTTATAACCAGGACAAAGTTAAAGCTTCATTCAGATGAATGGTGGTTCCCTATCCATCATTCAGAGAGGACTCGAGCATAAAAGTAGGGGAATAGCCACTGTTGGAGCCATTACCAGGCAACTACTAGTGCTAGAAGTAAAGCAATTACTGGTATTCCTTTACTTACTTTTCTCCAAGTTCTTCAACAAAAACAATAACTGGTCCTCTGTCAGGTGACATTTCTTGAATGTGAGCATGAAAGCTCCTGTCAGGATTCAACTTCACTAGGCACTTTACACCAACCTGCAACTCTCCATTATTCCTATACCAGCCAAATTTCATTTCTGTGTAACAGGAAATATCAAAGCTATATTTTAGATGAATATTTACAAATGCATAAACAATAAATGTGTAAATGTATACCACCATGAGAGAAACTGAAATTATTCAGAGTTTCTGCTCACTGGGGATGGAGAACACTTTTTCCACCTGATACCAGATTTCCAGAGAAAATGCTTATCAGTATGAAGTCCCAGCCATTCTCACTGTTCCAACACTGCACTGGCAGATTTCATAATGTACATTTTTAGAAAATTCTTCCATTCTTGGTTGTATGTTTATTTTGAGACCACCACAAACATTAATTTTGGTTGTGAGATATAAAAATGTCATTCTATATATTTCTCAGATGTAAACAACTGGTATCAAAAAATAAAAAATAACTCAATTTTTCTTACAGCTGTCTTTCTCTGCACAACATCAAATATGTATCTTACACAAAATCTATTGTTTCAGTTTCTCACCACTTTCTGGGTGACTATGAAATATATGGTCTAATGGATAAACATAAATGAATATATACATATATAGGATTTGAGGTTCTCACAGCAGTGGTCATGAAGACTCCTGTCTTCTAGGATATAATGCCGTGTAGTCCAGTGAAAGTCAACTATTATTTTAGAAGAATTTGTCATCTCCATCTTCAAGGTTGAAGGTTAAGCCAAGCAAGAAACCAGTATGAAGCAGAGTCTGACTGCTGCATCCTTTATGCTGATTTCTTGCTTTCCTTAACCTTCAACCTTGAAGATGGAGGCAACATGTTCTTCCAACATGTCAGCTGACTTTTGCTAGAGTGCACATCATTATGTCCCAGAACATACAATTCCTGAAATCCATATACAACAAACAAAATTTACCACCACATTTGATGTAATTTGCTGTTTTTAAACTAATTATCAACAAGATGTATTGCACAGTATCTCATCACACACCTAGATAAACAATGTTCACAGCTGACTGGTCACAAGATAAAACATGCAATAATTTACAAAAACAAGATATGCACTCTTGATTGTGGTAGCAGTCTTGTAATAGTCTGTTTACCTTACACATGACTCAGTGCCTGCTGTTAGCTGCTATCTGGCTAAGTACCTATTCATGCAAAATGTTGGTAACTGTCCTCTCTTCATGTCTCTCTTAATTTTTTTATAAATTATTCATTTGTATAAAAATATAAATAACATGTTACCTTTTCTAAAGTCATTCCAAATGTCAAATTCAATGTTGCGATAAATATTTGGGTCTAAAGCTTTTGCAACTTTGTATGGAAAAGGTGTAGCACCCTGAGCCAATAGTTCTTTAACATTCACATTTGTGTCTTCATGATCTTTATAGTCCTTATTTGACTCCAAAGATATTTCCATTGAAAAACCAAAGCTGAAAAATAAACACACACAGTGTTAATAACTGTGAGGTATAAATATCAAACAGTTATCTGTAAAAATACATTCCTATTCTTGAATAAGATAGTATTCTCATCTTGAAATGTGTTTTGTGAATTCTCATTTTATCAAAGTTTCTAACTGCTCATGTACTTTAAAATTTCATCACAAAAGTATTTCTTAAAATACATCGACAACTACTACGCTTATGTTATATAGTGCACTAAGCATTTGACATGTACATGGTATTTTAACAAATATTCCTAGAGATATTTACTGGTGATAATCATAAGCAATCTCCTTCTGAAACATACAAGAGAACTGTCTGCTGAGGAGGCTAAAATTATTCATTGAGAGTAGAGACATTAGCTATACTAAACCTTTCATCTCTCTGTGTAATTATTAGGAAACGTTCTGAAAACTTCTTAAAGAAACGAGAAGTTGATCCATGTGATTTACAGGCTTCTTCTCCAGTGTATGGGTGTATAAGAACTGGGAGCATAAACAAAGTCATTTCAAGGGTCAAAGGAGAGGAAGGGTTATCCTCAAATATTAATTGAACTTCTAAAAATATTGTATGAAGTATTTGCTATGCCGTGGATAAGTAAAATTATGAAAGCCTTAAAAAGTGGCCCACGGTTTGAGTTTGGACACATCACCACATCCACTTGAAAAGTTTGTAGTAGAAAGCAATACCATGGACAGACACTGTAATTTTAAAGTGTAAATTACAGAGAAGTTGTTACATTTTTTAGAAATACAAAAACTTATGCTCCAAAACCCTAAAATATCCCATGACAATACAAAATGTATTTAATATTTATTGCTATATACATGGTTCGATACTATATTCCTCTACACTTTTCTACCAGATCCTTGTATAACAATCAGTTAATCACAACATTTCCTGATATGACATCTCCAACTACCCAGGACATGTTGGATAACAGAGACTTTACTGTATTTTAAAAATATAGTGATCACAAAGTCACTGTCACATGTACAACTAAAGATGAACCCCAAAACCCTGACCTCTCATATAAACTGTTCAAGATCACTGAAAGTCACAGTGATAAAACTTAAACTATCAATGTGGAAAGCTGCTGCAGTGTGATTTTCTGTCTGTTTGTTGGAGGGTTAAATGAGGGTGAAACGGCTCCCATCTTTCATATATATACACACAGTTCTTCTCCATTGCATTATGTTTACAAGTTAAGGAATACTTTTCAGAGATGTGACTACTGAAGTCAGACAACCTCACCTCACCCAATTTGGTACTACTTCAATAAAGTTCATGTCTGCACAGTATTGTTACACAATACTTCTGATGAAAAATCACTTTAAACTATGTCTGGTCACCAAAGTCAACTACCCTTATTCAGGGTGATGTCTGTCTTTGGGGAGCAATGAAAGTAGTAGAGCAAACAAAAAAAAAAAAAACAAACACTAAACTTAAAATGAAAGCAGCCATCATAAATATAACTGAAGGTGTCCTTTGGACTAAAATTGGATGTTCTATTAAACAATAATACAGCATGGTCATGCTTACCTATGTGTACAAACATGTGGAGCTATTTCTTATGTTTGCTGAACTCATACAAGCAAGAAATGTACTTCAAAACATACTTTCTACAATGCCTGTATGTGCAAAGGAAGTCGATAATCACTCTATAAAAACAGAATTTACTGACCTGCCACAGGATATAAAGCGATCTTCATTCATTACCCTCTCCTTCTGTACACGATTTGTTTTATCATGTAACATTTTATTCACTGCATAATTGACATCAGGCAGTTGAAATACATTCTTATACAGAACCTCATAAACTAATGCTGAAAATAGTAAACATTTCACCATTATGAATATATTTCTAAACTTTTTATACTGTCTAGTCAATTATAGACTCGGAAGTACGTGACAGAGGCAGAAACTTGCAATAATTAAATTTCAGACTGAAGCATGGAGTGGCAAAAATTTTCACTCACTCTGCAGACTGCGTTCACATCTTTAACAAACGTAAATCCTCATTGCGAAATTGAAAATTAGAGTATTGATTGATTGATTGATTGATTTATTTAACATCCATAACTGTTACATTATGTACAATTGGACAAGTCAAGTATTGAAATCAGTATTTGAAATACACTCACATTTATGTTAAATGACTAGGATGTAATTTAAAAAGCAAAACATAAAAATTACAAGAAGGAAATGTGAGAAATACTTAGCCTATACCATAATTGTTTGTTGAGAATATAAAAAGATACTTACATTGACAAAATGCTGCTTTCATTATGAATAGCTTTGGGTATACAGAATCATAATGGTTGTCAGAGGAGAGGCAAAGCAGTATTTTCTTTGTGAAGCCATAGTTGGTTGCAACAGCTGGAGATCTGCCTACTTCTTCAAAAACAAGCACATCATGACTAAAAAAGCAAAAATTTACTAGGCATTACTGCAGTACTGGTTGATCAGTGAAAACAGGTTTATATGTATAATAAAGAAATTAATATACTGAAACTTAAATTTTGATAACTTACTGGTATAAGAGAGCCATGGCATTAATTTCCATCTGACCTCCCCACTCTCTAGAATCCAGCATACGAACTACATAATCTTCCAAAGGTTCTTTCAGAAACTGAAAAAGGAAAATTTGATACCTCTTTGAGAATACGGTACAGTAACACATTATTTTGTTTGCAGACTTACACCAAAACTTGTAACAACACGCTGGAAAACTGATTACAAAAATTTCTTTTACTAATATGTACTAGTCTTTGTTCTGAGACTTATGAAGATAATGGATAATGTTGAAATGATTATTTAATTATACAGTTTTACAACCCACACATGAATACAATGAATGATGAAAATATGTAGAAAGATAAATCAAATATGACTGAGCAATAACAACTTCTAAAGCATCCATTTGAAGATAGTGAGGGAAGACTATAAGAAATTTAAAATAGGTGATATCCTTTATCAGGAATGTCAAATGAAAGTCCAAAATGTTATTATCAAGTTGAATCAGTGATGTTATGTAAAAGGCAAAGCAAAAGGAAAAATGTATTTTTCTCAGAATTTCAGCATGATTGATCAGTGGTGTCACACACTGATACGCCTTTCCATAGGTTACCTGGGATGTATGGAGAGTGTGTGCTCGATTAATATGATAATTCAAAAAATAAAAACTATTGATGTCAACGTTAGTTCAGCTCTTAGGCGTTTACATCATGCGGATGTGGGAAATTCTGCCGATGTTCCAGAGGTATCATGATGCCTCCATATTCACATACTCTGACTCTGAAGATGGAGGCAGCATGTACTGTATTTCCAAAATATTGGCAACATTGCCCCATATGCACACAGTGTACACACCCAAGAGCTTGGCCAAAATCAATGGTTAAACACTGTGAAAGCCTAAATTCAGAAAATAAAAACTGGTCTCTAAATGCTAAAGCAAGCAAATTGAAAATACTGTTTGTACCATGATAGTTCGGAATGATTTATTTTGTTATTTAACCATAGATATCAGACTGAGAAATATTACACTTTATAATATAATTCAATCATGAGTACCAGCTTGCACAAAAATGAAGCAAACAGGCTCTACAGTTCCAATATTATAAACAATTTAAAAATCTAATTGCATAGGATGAGAGAGTACAAAATGTATGATCTCATTTAGACCAATATACACACACTGCTAAGTATGGTGCTTGCTCCCAATACAATCACAGGTTTGACTTTTAGTAGAATTAATTATAATACATTCACTTGTCTCAATAAAAGTTAATACCTCAGTATAACCTGACAGTGGATGAAATAAGAAGACAACACCCTTCATAGTCACTACAATGACAGCCTCAAATCCTGCATTGATGAGAAAGTTCCTTTTTGTCACTTCTAGCTTATTTTACCCTTACTAGTTCTAACAGAGTTATGACAATAACCAACAACCACCTCAGTCAGAAGTCTAGTAATGTACAACAGTGAAAATGTTACCTGATACTGTACCAATAAATCTCAATATAATTAAAGGTTTATATTTCCTAAGAGATCTACTGTAAGTTTGCTTTCTTTAATCCTCTATCCACTACCAATATTTGAGGTCACTATCTTGCATTCCTATGCCTAATCTTAGTTCCCACCTCTCTCAAACAGGCCAGAGGCCATCTGTATGAAACAGGATTGGTGGAGGGGGAACTTAAAAATCAATTACCTCTTGGAATTTAAGTTTATTTTTCTGAATAAACTCAACACACTGTCTCCTGACATTTTGATGAACAGCTTGAACATAAAACACCTGTAAAAGCAAAAACATACTTTCATGTAACTTGAGCATCTACATAGCATTATACAAGAGCATATTCAGCATAGACACACGATAATAAATCCAACTGGAATTTTGTAGACATGCTATTTTAGAACATACAACAAAATAACACAAATTCACAAACAACACACTCAGAATCTTAATTTATACTTCTAACTGCATGCCAAATTCTAACAAATGAAATGAGGTCATATAAATACTTTTTTTTTTGTAAAACAGAAATATTTGGTGATTCATGGAATCCTGGCAGTAAAAGAATTATGTATTTTTTGTACCACTGTGGGTGGTTGCAAAAAAGTTTGCCCCCCTCCGAAAAAAGAAGGTTGCCAGCGAAGAACTGTTGAGAAATACTGCTACAAAACATGCATTCATATAAATGATATTTGAACATTTTCATATCTTTGCATATTAATGATATACACTGCAACAGTCACATCTAACTGCCCTTGATATTGAATTATAAGAACTAAAACATACAATGAAAAATAAATAAGACTGTGACTGAAAGGTAAATGTAAGGTAAAGTTGTCACCGTGTGGAAGTGGAAGTATAGTTCCACCATTCTTGATTTCGGCACTAGACGGAGGTGAGTGATCAACTTCACACCCTGGAAGATTGTCATTGTAGGTGATATAAAGACACCAAAGACAAAATTTAAAGAAGATTTATGTTCTGACAATATCATATAATGTAGTAAGTGAGTAACATCCAGGGGGTTGAGATGGACTGAACATGTAGCATATATAATGAAAACAGGAAATGACACAAAACAGTATTTGAAATCTTTTTGGAAATAAATAACTTGAAGACTAATGAGCAGGTATTGCTAAGGCATATCTCCATATGCTGACCAATTCTCTGTGTTTCCTTTTTTTCACGTTTTCATAATGCTATTTATCATCAGATGTTTGTAGCTGTACTAATAAAGTCAAAATGTCATATTTGCACTGCAATGCGGTGTCAGTCACTTAGTAAACACTAATTGATTCTTGGGCTGTTTTAATACAAGTATTTATAACTTATGCAATTATGACTTAGGGAAATTTTGCATTAATCTGATTTTGTATTAATTTCTTTAGTATTTCTGTAAAAAAAAAAGGTAAAAAGTAAAGCTATCCCTGTAACAGGCCATGAAGGACTATAGAGTTGTGAGATGTTGAGGGTCCCACATTATCTAGACAATCAGGTCAAAGATGGCGGTAAGGTTGTCAGCCTTACGCGCTGGCCCCGCTTTGTTCCCCAGGAAAATTATTTAATTAATTCCTGGTACTCATTTCTGTTAGAGATTGAGTAGACTCCAGGGCCACAGTGCGGCCAGAAGGATTAGGACAATTGGAAAAAATCCAATGACCTCATCGAGACTTGAACCCGTGACCTTCTGGCTTGTAGCAGAGTGCCTCAACCATCCTAATGACAATATTTGTCAACAAAAAATCAGAATTTGTAAAGACAACTAACTGTATTAATTTTTCAATGAAAATTACAGAAGGTGAAACTAAAAAAAAAAGTAGAAAAATTGAGCACGACAAATTTGAGTAACTCACCATTGGGAACACAACTGTTGTTTAAGAGAAATAACTTCAAGCTGTTCCAACTGCTACAATTAACATAAAATGAGAATGAGACAATCCTCATGAAAGGTGAGAAGAAAATGATTTTGAATCAGACAATTGTGACTGGTGTTAAATATTATCTCAGCAGTCACTTGGAAAGAGTGATTTGAAGATACCTCCATCAGGATAGCTGGTAACCTAGCCATCATCTGAAATACAATCTAAAGTGTTACAGTTACACCGACAGTGAACCAGACTAACCTGACTTGTCTTCTTTATCCATACTTTTCGTTTCCCTCTTTTTACTGGGAGAAAAAATTTGTTAACAGATAATAAAGATCTCCCTATGGCACAAAAAAGTATTTGCATAAAAATATATCAGCAAAATGACAAAATGAAAGAAGCCTTGTTATGGACAACAGCTTATATTGTTAATAATGTATACACCTACTTTAATAAATTCTATTTGAATACCTGCTCTGATACTGCTCTGAATAAACATGATCCATCCCGAGCTGTATGCTTCCGGTAGTAACCCTGAGACTCCAACCACTGGTCCATGGGTCCTATAGGTTTTGGATATGACCGTCTTGGAACCATTGTTATGAATCTTTCTCTAGGACTTGAACAAAGTGATATATATTAAATTCAGAAATTAAATTAATCAAATGAACTACATGAAAAATAAATATTTTAGTGTATAATCATTGCAGTTATGACCACTCCTTAACACATGTTCTAGAAAATGAGATTCCACCTCCAAAAATAAAGACCTATATAAATTACAAATTTTAAATACATTTCAGTGCTGTTTACAATTATAAAGACACTTCTGAAGTAGTATTAACTGTCACCTCCCCTATTCTAGTTCATGGATATAAATTAGGACCATGCAAACGTTTCTGGGCACAGGGTGTAATCACAGCATTTATGAACCACAGTGGGGGTAAAGTACTATGATAATCTCACTTCTGCAATCCACTGTGCATATTGCAGCCCACCCTACTGAAGTGGCATGACAGGAACCTTTCCTTGACATTATATAATCTCAATGCTGATAGCACCATAAAATAGCTCCCCTCAAAGGTTCAATTTCCAGGGCAAAAATTGGATGATGAATCCGATAAATCAGTGTCACCCAAATGCAGTTTTCAGAACTCATAAAACATTACTCCTGAAATTACAATAGTCCTTACCTAAGCATTATTACATTAAATCTTCTCTTTCTTTGTGGGTAATTCTACAATGCAGTCAGTATCTTATACTTCATAACACAAAATGCTAGGTATATTGATGAATTCGAATTGGAGTGGTTTGGGGGCAAAGGGGTCGTACACCCATTCCAGGCTTTAACCCGGCTCCATTAATTCTCGTATTTGTAATTTACATATTGGCAGAGATGGCCATACACACTTTACAGTCAGTCACTGATTTGGCATATACAATATATGAATTTTAGAACCCCAAAAGCAGTGTAATTTACACAGTACTTCATCATCGGCAATATTTATATGTTAAACTGCGTATTCTATACCCACATAATTCCAAAATAAAACTATGTTCATTCATGACGACAAAATGGTACGATTCGTGAAATGCATTACTGAATACGAATTCTGAAACTTAGGCTATAACACCTCTTTGACTTTTCATCAAGGTCTTCACTCTTTTAAGATGGAACACGACAACTGCTTCAACAGCATATTCCCTTTGACACATACACCCTAATTTACCAGTAATCCGTAAATAAAAATGTGTAAATTTGAATGCTGTCAGACGTCAAACACACGTGCTCAACAAAAGTCTCCAAACTTTAGGCCAAAGAGGAATTACTTTTGCACACATTTCATCTCCACACAACATATACAACATAGGAGTATTCATATTAAATATGCACGCGCTACAAATAGTGTATGACCCAATATAATACAGCTTTCATCATCAAATCACGAAGAGATTACGTACCTTCCAATCTTAGCCACCCCTCTCTCTTTTTCGTCTGCCAGTGCGGGATATCCGGGGGATATCTTCGCCAGTAGAACCGAGTAGATCTGCTACCGACTACTACTGCTTCATGCCAGTACTTAGCCTGAGGAGATATTTCGTCAAAACAGGCATATAGGCTGAAGCGAAAGCAGCAGAGTATTTCCATGAACAAAATAATTATTTTTATGGAGTTCTGCAGAGGTTTATGACGACCGTTTACATCTATCTTCTACTCCACGCTAGCGTTAAAACCTACCGAATAAAATTTTGTAACTGACATTATGACGCGAAAGTTTCCCGCACGTACTGCAACATAATTAACACCCATGGAGCTGAGCGAAGATAATAATCGGCCACTACTCAAGTAGTTTCCAACATTTTATGTAACCCGAAGGTTCATTACCATATTTACTGATGCCTGCCACGAGTAAAGTCAATCCGGAGGCAAGGTCCCATCCAGTCTCTAAAGATTCAATCTTATCCTCCTACTGACAGCGAGAACCTCCTAGTCGCTCCTAGTGGTCTCTTGTCCTTCGGGGTTTCCTGCTAAATAATATATGTATTTCTATTCCCCCCCCCCCTCCTTATGCTATGAATTGCGATAGCGATCTTTTTCTCTTCTGCACAGCTTAGAGACCGACTCTGGGACCCAGCCAGCCTCCTATCCAGTCGGTACCGAGGTTGTTTCCCTATTGAGTAAAGCGGCAGGACAATGAAGCTGACCACTCACCTCCATTTATTGCAAAGGTCAAGAAAGGCAGAGCCATATCTCCACTACCCTGTATGTCTTCATGCCACAGTGCCTCACTAATTAGACACAGGAATAACTTTACCTTACCTTACATGCCCTGTCTGTCTTATCCTCTTTTATTTGGTCATTCTAATACTATCTGGCAAGGAGTACAAATTATAAAGCTCGTCATTATAAAACTTCTTCCAGCCTCTGCTGCCTTACTTGAAACTGACAGTTTTCACTGAATTTTTGCATCATACTTGCCTGCAATCTTTCAATATTATTATAATAGCGTTAATTTTTCTTTCAGCAAAACGTGATAGTCCATTACCTTTCTCTTTCACAGCAGGTGTCACACAGGAAAGACAAGTTGGGGCAGGGTAAGACTGGACAAAATACACAGAGGAGAAGCAGTCACGAGAGAATACAGATTAACGGCGGTGACTGAACTTAGTGGAAAAATCACTTGATGTACATATAGACTTGCCACACTTAACTAGGTTCAAATTTACATGGACATTAAGCCTGGCAAAATACGTTATTTTTGTATTTGAATTCATTTCACTTTAACCCTGAAGCTGGATGTGTGGGATAAAAAGGAGTAATTTTTAACCTGAAAAAATAATATACCAGAGCATAATACTTAAAAAGAAATTTATTATCAGCAAAATCCTATAATTCAACTGCAATTAAATTGTGCTGCAGTCTTCATAAATATCTGCTACACACACCTTTCAATATTCATATTCATCTGAGCAACTGTAGCACAATATGCAAGAGGAGTTTTCAGTCAACAAAGTAAGAATATACTTACATAAATTTTATTCAAATTATCAAATGACATGAAGCAATACTATACAAATACCATGTGCAAACTGAAATTTTGGTTATTACAAATGTGCAATTAACATGGATTAAATAAAAAAACACGGATTTGTGAGCAAACAATTTTTGCAAATATTGTATTACTTCAAATATAAGATGTACATTTTTTCCCACTGAAAAACTGAGGTGCAGCTTAATCTTTTGGAATGTGCACCTTTATAATTTTTTTTCTAAAGCCCACATTCAAAAGCTGGATTATCTCAAATTTGAGGACATCTTATATTCGAAGTAATACAATATCAGTGCAACTGCACTTCTGGACAGTACCCCAATATGATTAAGGTAATTTGTATTTTACAGTGCTATATTTCTTCAATACCAAATACCAAAGGCAGAAAAAGCATACCATCCTTTTTAGTCAACATAAATTGTGACTAAAACATACATAAAAAGCATTTTCTTCTAACAATTAAATCGCCATTCATACCAGTGCTCATTTATTGCCAAAAAGAGATTATGCCTGTTCAAGTGTCTGCACAAACTTCTCAACTACAACTGTTACGAGCTCCTTCAGAAAAAACATACTGAATATGGTAGTGTTAAAAAACATGACACATTCCATGTTACAAAGTACAGAAACTTTTCAACTATTATACAGTTCAAATAGGCAATATCTCAACGATGAGATACCCACTGAAAATGGGACTGTCCCAGCCGAACTAAGGAGTGCAATATGACTAACAGATCTAGAATACTGTGAGACAAAAATTCAGTTGTACCACAAGCATTTTAACCTTTTATAAGGCAAATCTGTTTAAATAATATTTTAAAAGCCTGTTCTTATTTAAAAAAAATCTACTGTGTATTCATTACAAGGATCAGTTAGTAAATGAAGAACCAACAGTACCCTATAAATAATCTGTGGTGAAATGTAATGTTATATTTATCATTAAGATAAGTGGTACACATAGTTGCCAAGGCTTATAAGAGGTTAAATGTGGAGGAGCTGCAATTTATATCACAGAAAATCTAGATTTGTTGGCCATTCAGTTCACTTGCTGTGCAGAAGTGCATAGAACAAAGTTACATTATTATTGTGTGTACAAAACCCATACGAAAATATACTTGGAAGTTTCTGTTTGAACACCAGAGTGATAAATTCAAAATCAGCCCAACTTTAAAAGCACGCCCATTTCCCCATTTTGTAAAAATTTCAAAATGGATATACAATTGAACAACTGACAGAGCACTTTTTAAAAATGATGAGTACAATTTTATGCAAAATTTTTAGTTATCCTGGCTGGTTTTTTTCAACAAATTTAAAGACAGGTCATCTATTTACTACAGAATTCTCAGAAAACTTTGGCCATTGATATCAATTAATTCTAATGGCAAATGTATTATTTACTGTTTTACAACTCGTGACAAGTCCAATAAATGTATTCACTGCATAGAAAACTTCATAACCACACATATTAATCTCCAAAATAAAACAAACTGCACCAAGGCAATTCTAATTAACTAGAAGAAAGTTTTACTGTAATTACAGTATACAAAACATTTTGCTATGGTGGTTATCCAATACGAAATATGTGGAAGCACTTGGTATAAACAGTCACATTTGAATTACTTTCCTTCGTTGTATAAAGGCTGGATAAGAAAATCTTATTACTGTTACTTTTATAAATAGTGACAAAAATAAATCGACCAGCACTGATAAAAAATATGATCCCAATTGAGCTGGATGGATACTGAAGGGCAAGTTCCTTCAGTTCAAGTTGGTTGAAAAATGCACCCAAAGGCTGGAGTGTCTGGGCAAGCCTTATGCCTTCTTCTCTTCATCAATGGCTGAAAGTAAGCAATTTTCAGTAATTATGACAGCGAAATCTGTATGATTTATATATAATATCAGGACACACCTACAAAATTCTCTACAAAGGTCTAACTAGTTAGTAAAATTAATCACTAAATTATCAATAACAACACTTCACTTGAACTGTAAACATTTCCAGCTCTTCAAAGTTATGAAAGCAGTCTACAGAGTGATGCTTTCATTTCAACCAAACACAGCTAGTTGGCTGGCTAGCTGACGCTGAGATAGCAGATCCCCAAGGTTCAATCCAGTTAATAAATCCTGTGACTTCATCTCAACCACATGTCTAGTCTCCTAGGTCAGCCAAGTGGACATTTGTAAGAGGTTCCTGTGTCATTACTCTACAAGCATTCCCTGATACTGTCCATCCCAGCTACATGCCCAGCCCTTTATACACTCCTGATTTGTTAATAGGTACTGCATCACGTATTGTATGTATTAATAATATCGCAAATGCTTTGTAAAATATTCAGGTCATGCAGTATTTTTTAAACTCACAATCACACATTATAATTAAAGCATGTGCACCTAAACATGTAATAGCAGAAACAGGTGAACATATACAGAAGATAATGCTGATTATAGTTCTAATTTGCAAGATCAGTAAAAGTTGTCCCTGTGCTTAGCTAATTAAGCAGTACGCCATGAAGATGTATGGGGGAGTGGATGTAAAGATCTACATTTTCTTGACCTCGGCATTAGTTGGAGATGAGTAGTCAGCTTCATGCCCCTGCCGCTTTACTCCAGGTACCCATTGTATAGGAAGTTGGGTGGACCCCAGAGCCAGTCTGGACGATTGGAGAAGTGAAAATTCTTTACTCTAGCAAGACTCGAACTCCAGCCACCTGATCGTCCAGCCCGTAGCATCGTTATACTGACTACACTATCCCAGCTCCACAAGACCGGTATAATTTCTTGGCTGCTTGGTAGTAGTACAGAACTTACAGACACCTTATTTACAGTAAGCTAAATATTTCTCATGGAAAGGGGATTACTGAATCTGAAGACATATTTGCACATTACCAGAATGTGGTTGTGCCGCACACCCAATGGGGCACGTAAGTACAAAAATACAACATCTAGGCACACAAAGGGTAGCATAACCTAAGAATTAAGGACAGAATCATGCTAATAAATATGTATTACACATTGCAGAGAGCAGGTCCAATACAAAATATAGGAAGACCAAATATCCTTAACACCAAAATTAATAACATCATACTTTAAGAGCACTATTTGACAAAGTGCACAAAGCAGTGGATTCCTTAAAAATGTGTTGCCTGAGATGGCCTCTGTGGCCGAAACATGTAACAGAAAAACACAGAACGTATATATCTTTTAATGACATTTTAAACATTTTAACAAACTACACGTATTTGTAATTCTGTATTTTGGCATCCTGTTGCACATCTTTAATTAAACGTCTATGTATTAAGTATGTAAATAATCCAACAATCATTAAAATATTCACAGTTTAACATTAACACATGTTTCGGCCACAGATGGCCATCCTCAGGTGTCTCAATGGGTCCAAACTGTTACACTGCTGTGATGTGCACTAAAATTGGGTGTTGCAGTCCACTTAAAATATCATAAATGATATTTAAAATTCATTAAAATGTTTCTATTAAAATCCTTCGTAAAATCCTATTCAACCTTGTAAGGGGCGGTGGAATAGGATTTTATGAAAGCAGTTACCAAACAGTCTCATCCATACAGATAAAAGGATAGAGTGAGCTTAGTAGGTGCTCTGCAGGGTTAAGCACACACCTAAAAAGGGAGAAACTTCAGTGGGTCATATACTCACTCATTCATTCATTCATTCATTCATTTCCTTTATCTGTTATTTGTTATTTTTAACAAACCTAGAATGTGGAAATATTCCCTTTCAAAATAGATATATCAACATACATATACAAAATTACACGAGTCACATAAACAAAATCACTTACATTAATCCATTAACATAAACAATAATATAAAGTAAAAAAATTAATAAACATAATTTAAAAACAACTTACTATAAAACTTGAATTATTACAATTTTATTTATATTACCTATATTAACGGAATTAAATACATTACAAATTTACACACTTATGACCAATTATGTTGATAATATTCACTCATGGAATAGAAAGAATGATATAAAAACATCTTCAATGCAGATTTAAAACTTCTCTCATCAGTAGCCAACATTTTTATTGTATGAGGAAGATGATAAAAAACTTTAATACCTGATATGTACGCACCTTTATTGTATTTTGTTAGGTTAACTGCAAGTAAATACATATTATTGAGGGCTCTAGTTTTATGCTTGTGAAACTCATTGTTAAAATTAAATAAATGTTTATTATTATCTGTGTATAAAAGTAATGAATATATGTACTGAGAGTAGAACATCATTATTTCCAAATACCAGTTTAGAGAAAATGTGTGTGTGATGACTTCTTTTTAATCAAAACATGTGAAATATACATTTTATGGCATTAACATTTTAATCGAGCATACATTTTCATTACTACAACCACAGCATACATAAAATGCAACAAATAAACTCAGTTCTCATTTATCAAGATTATTAACGTTATTTCTCCATTTTACTCTCTACACTTCAAGAAGTTCCTGTTTATTTATATAGGAGCACTTTCAAAACTGTTGTTATTTTCACTGACCTTCTTTTGTTGGTAGGGGATTCTTTTCTTGGGTTTCAGTGTGTTTCAACTTCTTGGTATCAAAGTTTTCAATTCCTGCAAACAAATTCTGTTTCTCCTTCTCTTGTTCTATAGCTGCAAAGCAAATAATATATTTAAAATGACATATCTGATAACTTTATCTAGTTTATTTGCTTTAATGACATTTCTGCGTTATAATGCTGTAAATACTGTTTTACACACATGGGCTATGTTAAATGAGAAAGAAGCTTATTACTGAACATTCAAAAAGTCACACACTGGTCAAATACCAACGCTGAATGAGATGAATGGAGGTACAGATCTATGCATTCTTAATCTCAGCACTATGTGAAATGAGGCGGCAGCTCCATGCAACAGATTTCATGCCTGCAAAAAGGGGCAGCAATTGACACTATCCAGTGTCAAGAATTATACAAATTTCATTTCCAGAATTACTATAAAAGGTATTCTGTGCAACTAGTGTTTGTATCTAACAATGCAGGATCTTAATAATTGATACCTGTATTTAATATTTACAGAATTAAAAGGAGCACAACATACCTCCATAAAACAACACTCTTAAAAAAAAAAGATTATGTTCCCCTCAAAAAGTGCCACATAGAATTTAAATTACATTTATGACAGCCAAAACTTATGTTAATTAAAACATGTTTCAGGAAAGAATCTGCTGAAGTTCAGGTGAATATAAAAAATGTTCATCTCCAATACTCAAATTTGAGAACTAGAAAAAAGTGGTACTAAACAGCCTAATGCAGAATGTTTTTATGTCTGAGGCAAATTTAATACGTGAAAACACATCATACAGAACAACAAAGCATGCTCTGAAGTCTAAGGAACCCAAGAAACTGAACATCTCAGATTCTGTGATGACATCACATTCATTTTTTGAGAAATATGAAATAAAATACACTTAAAATGAAGTAAAGAATATATGCTAAGTTTCCATACAGTAATTGGTTTCCTAGATATCTGATGAAGTATGATTTGAGTTTCCTGAAAGGTAAGGAGAACAGTGAAATTCACCAGACAACTTACAGTGTCACATGTCCATTACCAAAAGTGTATCAGAATTTTTCACATCGTCTGAAGTTGAAAACATACAGATATTGCAAGTGATTCTAAGTTTTTAAATACAGCTCATTATAAAGTTCCTTATGTAAAACTGGTTTAAGAAGGAAAGAAACATAGTGACTCTTTCATCTTCCCCACTGTTGCTTATTACAGTTAAGAATAAGATGATATGGACATAATGTGATCAAGGCTTTCTTGGAATACAATTTCACAGGCTTATTACTTCCTAAAACAAGATGTGATGCATAATTTGGGAAACTAAATTCTATACTCTCCTGAAAGAAAGCTACTTCTCAGCATTTAAACACACAACATGACAGGGACAGGCAATTATTTTGACATTCAGGATATAACCAACTTAGGTAAGCTTCCCAAATCACATATCTTTTCAACGTTAAATTGCAACGTTCAATTCATGTCTTCTGTGGAGGAAATTAAGGGCGTTTAACATAAATAAAAAAAATCAACTCAACAAACCAAGGGGATCAAAAAATGTTCTTTTTCTTAAAATTATTTTACAACTAATAAAATGTTATTTTACACAGAAAATGCACAGTTCAAATATTTTTATTGTGCTCCTAACTGAATATGCTGCTGCAAACTGGCATGAAAGTGCCATCAGGCCACATAAGTCCCGTGTGCCAGATTTTGCTGACCCTTGCTCTAAGAACATGAAGATAAATTTGCCAGGTAACCACCTCCAATATTCCCAATAACCAGCAGTTTCAAGTCCACCTCCATGCCACCTACCTTCTGGATCTGGAAGTGGGTTCTTTTCTTGAGTCTGTGTGGGTTTCATTGTAGCCTTGTCGAAGTGCTCCACACCTTCCAACAAGTTCTGGTGGACCTTCTCTTGTCTGACAACTGATGGCAGGGCAAGCAAGATGCAAAGCGAACATAAAACTCATGCATAGCACGTTAGGCAGAAGCTCAGTTATGCCTTTAAATACATGCTTCCTTATCTCAGTATATTAGTGATTTACTCTGTATTAGCTAGTACCTGGAGAATCACTCTTTTGCAGAAAATTTCAAATAAACTTGTGGACTAATTGGCAGAAAATTGTTTTAAACACCTGAACCGCAATGAGGTGGATGGATTCAAAATTACATTGGCCCTAGACTGAATAAAATTAACATGGTCAAAGAAATATTTACAAATACTTATAAATATCTGATACATCAGCTGTTGAGTAAATTAATTGTTATTTATATGAGTGTCATACTTCTTTGTTAGTAAATGTTCCGTAGCTATTTATGCACTAATTTTTTACTACTACAAATCAGTCCTTTATAATAAGTACCAACTTCATGTTGTACTAAAAATGAAGACAGTGTATTATAGGAAATGCTGTATTTGTTATAAACCAACCAACTCCAATGTGTTGGGTCTTTGTTAGCTTCTGACAGCCACACATACAGTCAGGAAGATTTCCACTATTTATGGAACCCAAAGGTTCATTACACTGGCCACAAAGAGCCTACCAGTGACTGCTATCCTCAATCAGATGAATGCAATCCACATTCTACATGTATTTATTTTTAAGATCCACTTCAGTATTAGACTCCAATTTATCTCTAGTCCTTCCAAGTGCCTCCTTCCTTTCAGGTTTCCTTACCAAAACTTTGTATGCACTGTGTGCCATAATCTTCTATACTCTTAGTGTGATAAACCAAGTTTAACACTCATACAAAACAACACATAAAAACACAGTTACATGTATTTTATTCTTTACACTTCTGGACAATGATGTAAACCAGTTACTATGTGCATTCTCAAGGACTGTGCTCCTTGGAGTTAGTTTATTAAGCAGATCTCCTAGAAAGTTTGAGCTCTCCACGAAGTAAGAAAATGTACTGGAGAGTCATCAAAAATACACTTTACGGATCTCTAACTTTGTAACACGAGTTCAATTATTTCACGTTCTTTATTCTAATATTCCTCCAAGAAATACCCTTCCACAGCAGGTATTTAAACCAGTGGAATAGGAAAGGAAAACCCATGTTGATAACAGCAATTTCCTGTATCCTACAAACTTCTTCCTGCAGTAATATTTTGCCAGAAAGAAGCCATAAAAAGGAGCAAACTACGCTGGCAGGCAAGTCTGTATTGGTAAAAGTTATCCACAGTACAAAAAAATCTTTTTAAAAATGTTCAAGACACTATATGTTAACGAAAAATCTGCTAATCTAATTTCCTACTTCTGCATAGCATTGTGCAAGAAATTCACATCAAAGGAAAACAATTTTAATCATGCATTCTTATAATTAATAATTATTACCTCAATTATAAACCATGCATGAAAAAACAACCATGCTATTACTGAGCAATATACCCACCATCCTTATCTGGAAGGAGATTCTTCTCTTGAGTTTCTGTGTGTTTCAGCTTCCCTGTATCAAAAGCTTCCACACCCTGCAGGAGAGCCTTCTGAGTTTTCTCTGTAGCAACATCTGTACAAAACCAGACACATTCCTTTAGTAATACAGTAAAAACCGTGGCCAAACAGAGCAAATAACCATATACAGACTAAATGTCTGGAAACATGGTGAGAAATCATTGAAGTATCAATCCCTTAACTCCTGAATCTCTATCAAGAGTCATATAATACTCTTATATATCTGAGAGCATTTTGGTATAGGATTTGAAGGCTCTGGGAAGAGCAAAGGTAAAGGGTAAATTTATTCCTGTAACAGGTCGTGAAGGTCCGTTGGGTTGTAAAACATTGGGGCTCCCATATTTTCTAGACAACTGACTTGCAGATGGTGGCGAGGTTGCCAGCCTCATGCACTGGCCACCTTTTAATCCCAAGGAACATTCCTGGCACTGATTTCTGTTAGAGGTGAGTTGACCCCAGGGACACAGTGCAGCTGGAATGATAAGGTCAACTGAAAAATCCTGTAACCTCACTGGGAATCGAAACGACTACAGTTTTCCGGAAAATACCCAATTCCTCCCTTAGAGTGAGACTATTATTGTTGTTGCTTCTATTGGTTTTTGTTGCGTTTGTTTCTCCATTGCAAATGGGGAAAGGATGTACCAACCCCTTCAAAATACACATTTACAAATTTACTTATATTTAATGCATGAGAGTGAAATGTATTAAGTTAGTAATATTGTGACTCTGCGTTTAGTCATTCATAGGATCACTAACACTTTCAACAAAGTTCAGTACCTCACTCAGTGGCTATTTTTTAAGTGACTTGTTACTTAACATTTCTTTTGGCCAGACTCTTTATGTCTTGCTTTGTATACTTGGAAACTGCTTTTGTGTTAGTTATCTGGTTCTTTTTTATTTATTATCCTTCAGTTAAAAATACTGTCAGTGGCTCAGACCATACAGCATCAAATGGAAGGATCGGAAATGAAGTGAACTGAATGGGATTTTCACCAGAGTCAACTTGCCCAGTATAGTTCTTATTATAGTGCCATGTATTGTGGGTTGTGCGTGACTCAGACAGGTTTTGGATTGGATGATTGGATTTATTGACATCTTATACACTCAGCTCATAATTACAGGCAATACAGCGCTGTCGCTGATCTACACACTTTACAGTTCACCGTTACACACGCCAGTGTTCTGTCTTCACTAGTCGTATCCTGGCAACGGATTTATAATAGTCTCGCGGTCACTGCAGCACACATGAAGTCTTCTTTTCATAGTCTACTTCCTTTCTTGCATTATCTTTGACTGTCAACTCAAGAGACTCACTCCGCTCTCAATTCATTTCCTCTGCTTCCAAGCTCATTTGCTGGCAAGGCTGGCGTCTCAAAACTCCTGACTAAAATGTCAAGAGTCGGAGTCACAGTTACGACTGGTGGTTCGTCTTGGTGCCAAGCCCCGAGACTCTCGACCAGCATTTTTTTCAACTCAACATTTAGGTCACAGTCCTCAGATAACACCCTCTCTGATGAGAGGATGGGTCTGCCGTTTATAATTGCTGCTGGTTCTCGCCAGCACAGTCATTCTCGAGTCCCAGTCCCGTGGGGCTCATTACCATATTTTACTGGCTCAGTTTCGAGACTCCCTCAACCTGGAGGGCCAGGTCCCCGTATTTATATCCCACCCGCCCCGTAACAGGGTAGCCCAGCTATAACCCCAGGCACTAGGCTCCCTTCTTGTCATCTCCTATGACTCGCAGGGCTATGGTGGAGGTACTCGAACCTGCCTCCATGCAGGCTTTTTCAGTGTTTGCCTGTAACTGGCTTGTGTACTTTAATATAGCATACGCATTATTCACACATAATTGTCACTTTACATCATACCAAGTCTATAATTTTGGTTATAACTGTTCATGTGAGCACATTTTTACTCTTGTCGTGAATTCAAAGTTTCGAACAGATCTCAAGGGTGATATATGTGAAGCAGGCCCCAACTTGATAATTATCAGTAATTATATCACGTAACAATTTACCGATAAAAAAACTTGTAAAATACAATGGTACGCGTGGGAATAAATGGATTGAAGATGAAATTGGTTTCCCTTCTTCCAATGACAAGGGCCGACGCGACAGTACACGTTAGCCAACATTTCTGCCGGCGTGACAGGTGGCATAGCAACAATTTCGTTGGTAATGTTTTCTTTCAATCTTCAAGGGTGCAGGTTTGTTTTTAAACACCCTACCCTTCAGCAGACCCCACAGGAAGACCGGCGGGGTCACGTCTCGTGACCGGGCGGCCGAAGTTCTTTCGCCGATAACCTTATCCCCAAATAATCTGATTTCTTCAAAGGTCATGTGTGATGAGTGCAATGTCTCTCTCTATTGCTGAAAACAAATGTGTATCAGCTCCAGATCAACCAAGTGATTCATACATTCTTGGGAAATGTTAAGTCAGACATCGGTGTTGTTGGTCGTGTGGAAGAAAATGAGGCCAATCACGTGGGTTCGTGACTGAGCACACAAAATGCCCCACTTTCCGTGGATTGGGGGGGGGGGGCTCCACATGAATGTAATGAGAATTTTCAGCACACACAAGAAGTATTCTATGAGTTGCTGTACCCAACAGGCAAGTATGCCATGTCCAAGCAGAGGTTCTGGGCAAAAGACAGCAGCAGGTCACTTTTCTGCATGTCAGGAGGCTGGAGTTCCCAAACAATGCACGGTAGGGCGAATCCTTCCTTTCCTTGCCGCTCTTGGGCACGATGAGTGGGTCACGCCACTTTCCCCCTGCCATAAATTTACATAACGCCCTTGTAGGCGTAGCCAGGAGCCGCTGCCTCCCGTTATGCACCGTGGTACCGGTCATTCCAGGCAGAGTCCCTCAATAGTGAGTCTGCAGGCTTCATTCATTTAGTCTCCAGTTTTTTGACCATGGATTTTTTCAGTTGAGCTAATCCTTCCAGCCGCACTAGGCCTGGGGTTTTCTCAGCCTCTAACAGAAATGAGTACCTGGAATTAATTAAATAATTTTCCAGGAGAGTAAAGCGCGGCCGGCGCGTAGGGCTGACAACCTTACCGCCATCTTTGAGCCGATTGTCTAGACAATGTGGGACCCTCAACGTCTCACAACCCTATGGGCCTTCACGGTCTGTTACAGGGATAGCTTTACTTTACTTTTTTTTTTATACACCATTCTTCCGAACAAGTGGAATCGTAGAATGCACGAAATGGCGCGAGCCGGGCAGGCGAACATGGGGTCAGTGTTTCGAAGCATACAATACTGCCAAGTTTAGTTTTCGTCGGTGAATTACTGCGTGATTTATAACTACTAATTAGAGTCCTACTTTAACCTTTGCGACATTTTCAAAACTCACTACACGGACTTATAACCATTGTTACTATAACACGAATACCTCTTGCTGCACCAATGGAAAAATGGATTTTGCTAGTTAAATATTTTCATTGTAGTAGCGTGGCTGAATTAAAAAAATATATACCGGCTGATGAAACGTAAGTGTGTATGGTATCTTACATGACTAAAACATGTGGACTCATTACTACATTGGAAATTAAAGTAACGCTTATTTCATTTGTAAGTACAATTGGTTATCAACTGTTACTACCGAACACAATTTTTCACTGTGCTTACATCAAATAACATGTACTACAAGAATTCCGCAAAACAGAAAACGACACTACTAAAAGCTCTGGTAAGATTGTTTTGCAGCTCCCTTGAGTACATTGCCAACTCAGTTCCAATTTGCATTCTCTAGTACAACAGAAATTAGAAGCATGCAAGGGCTGTTGTTAGTTATCAGTAACACAAACCAATGTGGACGGCAAACTAAGCAGGAAGGATGTGTGGTAATATACCTTAAGCCTACTTAATCTCGCACTAGTTGAAGCATATTACAAGGTATTAATGAAGCTAACCGGTCAGACAATACATTATAAGGAGGTCACTTACCTTACAAGTTATTTTGTAAACAGGTCAACTTGGATAAGATTAATGTCCCACACAAAAAGCAAGACAGGATTGGTTTGTGCATGTTGCATAAACTGGAATACAGGCAGCTACACAGTGAATACAGTTATAACTAATTTATTTTAAAACAAACTCCTATTTGAAGAAGATACTGAAAACAAGTTAAAGAAACCACCGCCATAATGAAGGTTTAAAATGTTACAGTGTAATACTTTAAAATCAAATTTATTATGCATGTATTCCCCGCCATTTACAATAGTTATGGTTGGAAGAATGGTTGCATACCTCAAATTTTTATGCTCATTTTCGCTTCCAATTTGTTTTCATTACCTTTAATAGTCACCGAAAAATATGTAGTTCAAATAGCTTTAATGAATGGATGAACAGATTCAAAGGGGAGTGAAAAATGTTGTACTTAAAAGAAACCATTAGGCAGGGGTTTGGGTTATTATGGGATTATGTAAGTATGATGAGTTAATAACATCCTTCTCCCTGACCACGCTTTCCTCTATAAATCCAAATATTCAGTTAAAACAGGTGAAGAGAAAATTACAGCACTAACCCAGCCCAAACTGAGAATAGTTTTGAGGTTAACGAAACAAAATGAAGCACACTGCACACAACATACCTTGTGCATTTGGTAGAACAATTTTTTCTTGCGTGTTGGTCCGCTTTAACCTCTCAGTTTTAAAGCTCTCAACGCCTTGAATGAGCTCGCTGTGTTGTCGCTCTTGTTTCACATCTAATTAATGAATCAACATTCAAAAATATGCTTCTGACAGTAACCCATGCAGCATTCCAAAGCACACCAAATACTGTATCAAGATATAACCTTCAATACTAGAAGATCTGATAGAAAACTGCGAAAATGGAGGTGAAGATGGAATAAAGATGGAAGAAATATTCAGTTACTGGTGAACAATATGTAACAGTTCAATATTTCTGCCAAACATCTGCAGCATTACAAAACAAAGACAGCTACAACAAAAGCAAGAAAATGATTTGCATGTAATATCAGGAATGCAGCTTTTATAATCTTAATACCAGACATGTTTCTATGAACCAAAATTCAGTGTGGAAGTCCACCCACATCCAAACCTAACAGGGTTGACCTTGATGAATGAGGGCAGCAGTTCCTTAAAAACATTCTTACATGTCTAACAGAAAACAGGTATCACATTCCTTCATTAATTAATTTTATAGATATAAACCAGGTCTAGTGAGATAATGTTTCTCTTTGCAACCCCAACTCCTGCCCACAGCCCATACCTCCTGAGCATATTTATTTTTTAAACCTGAGCATGAAGCTCATGTCACATAGTCCCTTGGGTAACACAATGAATACATTCTAATATTGTCTTTGGTGGGAGATCCCTAGAAGCTGCGTAAATTCTGTGAATGCCATTTTCACTATAAACAGACATGCATAAATCACACAAGTTACCAAGAACATAAACTGTGCTTCTGCTTAAGTAATAATAAATTAAAAAAAAAAAAAAACTTTCTTGAAGTTCGGCATGTATCTAGGACTTATTTTATCCGGTGTATAATTTTGCATTTGAAATATCAGTAACCTTGAATAATCACAATGCATAAGGCTTATTTTGGACTCTATCCATCGTCTGGTATATACAAGACGATATATAAAGTCCAAAATAAACCTTATAGTTCTATATATCATACACCATTGTCAGAATCCTTTAAAGCCCAGGAATTAATCTAATCCTACATTTGATGGATATGTAACAGCCCAGTGGTAAAGGTGTTATTAAATAACTCAGGAATCATTCACTGATAATTAGGTCATCACGTCATGATGGTGCATATATAATTTTATTTCTGGTGTCATTAATTCTGCATTCCTAATACTGTAAATTTCTAGGCAAGGTATCAAACAGAGCACTAAAGTCCACAGACAATAAACTTGGAAATTTTCCCCCATTATGCATACAAACCACGGATAATATCTGCTACCAGATAATATGAAAAGAATAAATCTTAACTTAGGATCAGAAATTACAGGCTAGCAGGATTGAATTTCAGGTCTTGCAACACAACTGAAGATAGTATGGAAGAACGAAATAAAACCTAGCATTCATTCAAGAATAATGGCCCAATATTAGGGCATACCTTCGGCTGTAGGTAAAACATTCTTCTCTTGGGTTTCTGCCTTCTTCATATTCACAGTCTTGAAACCTTCGAGCTCACTCTTGAGGTCCAGATTGACCTTGGGAAGGTCCTTCAATGAAGGGCTCACAGGGCTCGACATTGTCTGAAGCTTTGCCTACAATTACTCTGCAACAAAGAAACATTACAATGGCATAAGCAATCTGTGCTTATTCCGTTTAATGTCAGGGTTTTCCTACACCTATGATACTGTCAAATGAGAGAAAATAGTATGACATCAAACGATTCACATCTTTAGGAACATGTACCGGTATTACTGTCAAATTCGTACAAAAACAGTATCTTACTTGCTGACATCAGATTCAAGACTGATTTAACACCAAAATCCACCACCAGACACAGACCTGGGTCACTTCCATCCTGCGATCATCATACCTCTCTCTCTCTCCTTATGGGTCGGTTTACTGTCATCCTCAAATCTCCTTCCTGGTCTTACATAAGAATTCCCCACCCAAATTCTACATGCATTCCCCGTCTCCCCAATTCATATCACAAAATGGAATAGTCCCACATACTTTGGTATATCAGGTACATTATTTAGAACTGGATACAATATTTTCTGCTACAAGACAGTTCATCTTGTAAAGAAATTGTCAGATGTGTCGTATGTTTTAAGAAGTTCCATACACATGTGGGGTACGCGTTAGCGTAGTTTGTTGAGGCGCTATACTACAACCCGGAATGTCGCGGGTTATATTCCCGATGAGGTTATTGGATTTCTTCAATTTACCTAAACATTCCAGGCGCACTATGTCCCTCGGGTCGACTCAGCTTCTAGCAGAAATGAGTACCAGGAAACTTCCTGGGAAGGGGGGGATAAAGGTTGGCCGGCGCTTAAGTCTCAGAACATTACCGCCATCTGTGAACAGACTGTGTACAAAATGTGGGAGCCTCGCCGTCTCACAAACCTACGGGTCTTCACGGCCTATTACAGGGATAGCTTTACCTTACCATCTTTCACCATACACATGTATAAAAAATTGGAGTATAAAGCCAAGATATTGCTTATGGTGGCGGTGGTGTTGGCGTTGGTAATGGCGTCGGGCACTACGACGAGGAGGGTGGCTAGTGACTTTCTTTCTTCGGCCGAAAGGCACGCCCGAAAACAACTGACGCTTAAAGCAAACTTGTCAAAAGTCGCACATTTGCCACCGCATTGTGTTTTACCGTATTGTGGCTAAAACCAACAAACATGTTGTTATAAAAAGAAAAAAAAAACTGAGCACTGCTCTTCAAACTCTTAATTCATAACAGAAATCATTTCTAAGAATCATGTGACACGGTTATACCAAAGATATGAAAACAACACGGAATNCACATCTAGAAGACTGCTATTTTCAACACGCAATAAGTCTCCCTTTTAGAAAATGCTTCTATACTTCATGATGTTTGTCAGAACAAGTTTCCCACGTGCAGCACTTAAAAACGCTGGAAGATACGCTTGCACGCACACACACAAACGTGCTGTAGGTAGCCCTGTTAATAATTTGGATGCAGAGGGTCTGTGGAAAAGGACTTCATAGTTTTTAAAATAATCGCATACATTCAATTTAAGGACAATCCGATCCAGTGTTTACAAATTAATAATCAGAAGAGAACTGCGAAGAATCGCTGTGAGAATAAGAAGTGTGGTTCCAAGGAAGACAGACTGATAAGATAAACTAGAAAGCATCCAGTTTCAACATCGAAACGACTGAAGAACAAGAAATTCGTGGAAAAAATCTTATGATGCCTATTTCCCTTCAAATGATTCAGACTATACGGTGACGGCATCAGGAACTACAGTATGTAAAATGATATATTACAATTCTGTGCATAATATACACTTACAGAGATTCCAACTACATTCAATTTTCCACATATTGGCCCAAATAAAAAACTGGCCGCAGCCGCCATGTTTTCTTAACTGCTGACGTGTGAATATTTCATATAGTATTTGTACGCATGTTTATGATGACCTCCATACAAAATTTCATATGCCTACCTCCTCCGATACATCGCTTGCTGTCATCAAATTGAAAGGCCAATATGTGATTTCGTGTGGCCAGCTACTTGTTTTACCTTATAAAAATATACTAAACGCTGAACATTGTCGATTATGTATTATTACCATTCAATGTTTCAGTATAGTGCATTATGTGTCGCGCCCCCTTCACAACTTCGGGCGTTTTATTTATGGGTCTACAGCCCTTTTGGGCCTCGGACGGTTTTTTGAGTTTATTAATCTATACGCCGTCGATACTACTCCTTGAAAGGAGGATCAGCCCGTCGCAAGGCTGCTACCTACACACAGAACAGCACAAACAGAATAAACGCATAGACATCCATGCCTCGAGTGGGATTCGAACCCACGATCCCAGTGTTCGAGCTGGCGAAGATGATTCACGCCTTAGGCCGCGCGGCCGCTGTAATCAGCTTAGTTCGGGTGTTACTGATATGAAAATAAAGGAAAAATCGGCTAACCAGTAGTGAAACGAGCTTGACACGAAGTTTCATGAAAATTCGTGTACTGTTTCAGAACTAATTAGGTTTACCCGCGAACATGATGAACCCACAAGTACATCTTTATAAGACATGGACATAGGCTAAAAATATAAATGTAAGTGCTGTAAAATTGGATGCCTGCAACACTCATAACCGGACCGAAGCTCTGATACGGAGAATCCACACAGGAAGTCAACCTGCCCATGCTCCAGAACATTTACTGACGAGAAGTCACCTGTAATTCCCTTTGCAACGACTTTACTTTCGTGCCGTTGTGGTGAACTGAAGCTTCACGTGCACACTCGCATTATATTTATGGAATGTACAAATAATTAGTCATAGAGAGATCACTGACATCGCAGAAACAAGGCGTCAAAAATGTTGAGTCCAACCAGGCTTCACTAGTTCGGCGCACGAAATGCGAACGGCTATATTCTGCATTCAAAAAGATTAATTTCCGAATACATCTAACTTATCAATAAACTCAAGTACATGGAAGTAGGTAATGATCTGATGAAAGGTTGTTTCAGTTGTCTACAGTAAACCATGGTTACAACGGAATCTCTAAGGGCCGAAATATTCCAGCTTCAGACAAATGCATGCTACATGTAGGCCAAAAATCTATGGTCAGCGAGCGATATACGTGTATTCCTTCAATTTTCTTCCATTGCTCTCGTCTTCTTATTTTACTTATTCTCTCTTTGTTCCGGTAATCGATTGCAGTGTCTTGTCATATTCCACTGAGGGTTGGAATTTATTTTTTCCTATTTTAGAACAGGATAAATTCTGGGAACAAATAAACGAAACATAAAACGTTGTTAATTTCATGTTTACTTTCTATCTCTGCGTTAAGCCATTCCCACACAATAATTTGTGGGAAAACGCTAATCACAACCCAAATTCGAGTGTTCAGAACCTGTCCTAAGCATGATTGGCTTAGTCCAGTCATCCCCATCCTATTTCTTTCAAGATCCGTGTTAACATTGGGCTTATATACTCGTACTAGTCTATGCCAGCGTTTTCCAGGTGCCTATTTCGGTTTCCGTACCAAAATTTTATAAGCATTTGCATTTATAATTAAAATTGTCAGCGCAACTTCATTAAAATAATTTTATTTGAAAAGGGCCAACCATTATATATACAGTAAAGAAACTATTACTTCTTAAGGTCAAGGGCTGGATAATGGATTTTTAGTTTAAGTGTGCTCTGACATGTCTTTTCAAACCTTGACCACTACAGTGTCTTAATATGTCAAAAATTACACTATCTCCATATATTGTGAGTTCGACAGAGCAGGACCGTGAAGAGGCAGGGCTACCTGACTTGTGTTTGTTGCCAAAGAACCAATATATGAATTACAGATCGTAAAGTAAACATGAAGATAAGCAACGAAAGTGCTGGAGGCTGGTGAAGGTCACCCATTCGTAACGACGTTCAAACGTTTCTCGGCCTCTTCAACAAACGCGATCTTCAGATACTGCAAGTGTTTTTGGAAATATTCTCTTTAACTGTTGAAGGGCACAGCTTCGCCGAGTCATACATAGCAAGGGGCACCCTTAATGTTAAAATAATTCACACTGCAAACAGAAAAGACGGCATGCCTAGTTTATACTGTTTCTGGGTAGCCTGTACTGCCAATAACTTTGTTATGATGTCATCCTCTTTGCCAGTTTCTGCGTCAGAGTACACCGATTGCTGTAACATAGACTCTCATTCATGTACATGTTGGAACAATACATCTCCACATCCAAAACAGCAAAACTGTGCATGTATTCACAGTCATGACACTCAGTACGTTCACATCGTCCGCTAAGACACGGATATGCATTTTTGCATACGTTTAATATCATAAGAAGAAAAAAAAATGGGTGGGGGTTAAATATCAATGTAGCTGTACAGCATCAACTTCGATGGGTTAGATATGTGACTAGGATGTGTGGATATGGAAAGCGTATAGAATTTTCGTGCGGAAACGTCTTAGAAAACACCAAAATGGAAGGCTGGGAGTATAACATTGGGCTAGATCTTGAGGAGATGGTTGCGCGTTGAACCTTCGGGTTATACTACCACACTAAGGTGAAGTTGTCCCTGTGCTTAACTAAGCACTACGCCATGAAGGCGTGGTTGTATAGATCCACATTTATCTTGACCTCGGCACTTGGTGGAGGTGAGTGGTCAGCTTCACGTCCCGGCCGCTTTCCCCCCGGGAAAGAGTCGCCGGTACCCATTGTATAGGAGGTTGGGTGGACCCCAGAGCCAATCTGGACGACATGGAGAAGTGAAAATTCTTAGCCCCCACCGGGACTCGAACTCCGACTCTAGGTCGTCCAGTATTGAAAGGTAAAGTTGTCTCTGTGCTTATTTTATTAAGCACCACGTCATGAGGACGTATGGGGAGGGTGGAAGTACAGCTCCACCATTCTTGACCTCTGCACTGGGCGGAGGTCAGATTCACGCCTTGGCCATTCTATCCTCGGGGAAAGAGTCCCGGTACTCATTGGCTAAGAGGCTGAGTGGGTCCCAGAGCTGGTCTAGAGGCTGTGGAGCATAGGAAAATCTCTTGCATCTGCCAGGAATGGAACCTGGACCGTCTAGCCCGTAGCTACACCGGCTGAATACCCCTG